ACTACTACTACCAAAACCAGTACTAACTACTACAACCACTACCACAACCACTACTAACTACAACTGTTACTACTACTACTACTACTACTACTACCACCACAACCACTACTAACTACAATGGTCAGGCTCGCTGACTTGGTTGACACATGTCATCGGTTCCTAATTGCGCAGATCGATGTTCATGATGTTGATCACTGGATTGTCTGATCCAGACTCGATTATTTACAGTCCGCCGCCATATAGCTGGAATATTGCTGAGTGCGGCGTAATACTAAACTCTCTCACTCACTCACTACTACTACTACCACCACTACTACTACTACTACTACTACTACTACTACTACTACTACTACTACTACTACTACTACTACTACTACTACTACTACTACTACTACTACTACTACTATTGGAGTGCGGCGTTAAACTAAACTCACTCACTCTACTACTATTACTACTACTACAACTTGGTTGACACATGCCATCGTATCTCAATATTGCGTAGCTCGATGCTCATGCTGTTGATCACTGGGTTGTTTGGTCCAGACTGGAATATTCACAGACCGCCGCCATTTTGCTGGAATATAGCTGAATGCGGCTGCTACTACTACTACTACTACTAATACTACTACTACGTGTGCATGAAGTGCGGAAGGTCGCGGGTTCGATCTCCAACCCCGTCATACCAAAAGACGTTAAAATATGGTACTTGTTGGTCCCTGCCTGGCGCTCGGCATTAATGGGTACAACAAGGACTGGTCGGCTCGGAGTCAGTATAATGTGTTTGAGTGGGGTATTCATGCTTCACTGCGGCATGGTATCTCAGTGGGCTAGCACTATAAAACCAGCTTCAGTCTGGGCTAGTACAAGCAGCCGCACATACACATACACATGCATGCACGTCGTCATATGAGCGAAATATTCTCCAACACGACGTTAAACCCAATTCCACCACCACGTGTGCATGATTATTCACTTAACTATCCCAGGAACAAGCGTCACCCGCAGTGCTTTAAAACCATTTTACTCGTCGCATATGCGAATATTCCAGTAATGCCTCAGCTGAGGGCACAAGAAACTTGCTTCACTCTTTGTAGCCATGTGGGGAATCGAACCCAGGTCTTCAGCATGACTAACGAACGCTTCAACCACTAGGCTTCCCCCCCAAAACAGGCGACAAAAAATGTCAGGTATTTATGTATTTTCTGCACTGAAGGCAAGGTCGACAACGGAACTTGTTACCATGTAGAAATATATTTTGTCGCTTAACATGACAAAACGGTTTGTTGGAACGCCTGCCGCCGTTGCGACGTTGGAACGATTGGCGATATGTCTGTTGACTATATAAATTCGTAAAAAGTCGTTAAGTAAAATCCAAATTTGCACAAGGTAGAAGAACGTTTAAGAAACATAGATTCGGTATTGGTTAATTTTTTGTCAAAGTTTCAGCTACCTTGGAATGTTTACATTCTCGGGTAAAACTGCTTTTGGATCGTTCGGGATCTATTGGTAACATGTTAGATTCAAGACAACACGAGACTTGGACGGGACTATGTTTTGGTTGCTTCAAACACAACTGGGCACGTGTTGTCTCGCACACATATAAGTGTTTATACACATCTAAACACAGTGTTACTACGGGGCATTATTCATGATCTGTGTAATGTGAAAACAATCGTCCTCGAATCCCAGTTCGCACTAATTATGTTTCTATATGTCGGGGCGTTGGGTAGCCTAGTGGTTAAAGCGTTCGCTCGTCACGCCGAGGACCCGGGTTCGATTCCCCACATGGGTAAAATGTGAAGCCCATTTCTGGTGTCCCCCGCCGTGATGTTGCTGGAATATTGCTACAAGCGGCGTAAAACCAAACTCACTCACTCATGCTGTGTTTGTCAGCCCCATAGCTGCTAGCCTTGCTCCAGGGCTGTACTGAATTCTAAGCCCATGGATGTATAGTAACCCTATCCTTTGAAGGAGCAAGTCTAGATAAGTGGACAGAGAGTCTAAGGACGCAAGTCTCTTATTTATTTGTTATAGAAATTTAAACAATTAAATATTACCTTAGAGACTTGTGCAAGTCTACAGGCATTATGGGGGTATTCAGGGGTTTGGCAAAGTGGTTCTCGTCTCAGAACTGCAACAACCCGTGAAGGTCCGGGTTAGAATATTGATCTTCGGGTGTTCAGGCTCGCTGACTTGGTTGACATGTCATCGGTTCCCAGTTGCGCAGATCGATGCTCATGCTGTTGATCACTGGATTGTTTGCTCCAGACTCGATAATTCACAGACCGCCGCCATACAGCTGGGATATTGCTGAGTGCGGCGTAAAACTAAACTCACTCACTCAGAACTACAACACAACGAGTCCCTCCCCACAACGCCGAAATATAACTGAATTCAAAGAAGGTTTACACACTGTTGACGACTACTGCCATTCAGGTTGACGTATTAACCTGAAGCCATTATAAGGAACGGGTACAGGGGTAGACTGCACTTTACGGGTCCCCGGAAGTTTACTATAGACATGCGCAGAAGCCATGTACAGTCCAGATTAGTTGTACGTAGACATATATTAATTTAGCAACACCCATAAATATATATTCACATTAAACCTTGAGTTGCGTCCCCTAGATGTGCCAGAATCCTTTGATTGTGGGTTCGAATCCCAGTTCTGCCTGACTGAGATTCTTGGTGTACAAGAACCATGTTTGTTTTATCGGAGTTGCAAGCGTTTATTTCCATAGTGCTTCCTCCAACATTAAACTTCACATAACAGAGGGACTGTTCAAAGTGCTGTTTTATCCTGGCAGACCCGTGGTTAGAATTGGTTTTCAGCAACCCATGCTTGTGGCAAGAAGTGACTCACAGGATCAGATGGCCAGGCGCGCCGACTTCGTTGATACATGTCATCCCAATCGGTGCTCCTGATGTAGATCACTGGATTGTCTGGTTCAGGCTGGATTATTTGCAGACTGTCACTATGGAATGTTGCTGAATACGGCGTTCAACAACAAACGACCAACCAACAACCAAAGCAAAGTCCTGTTGAGCTCAACACACTCACTCTATCACCCTCGACCCGTGAAGATCCGGGGTAGAATAGGTCTTCAGCAACCCATTCTTGTCATAAAAGGCGACTTTGCTTGTCGTAAAAGGCGACTAACGGGATCGGGTGGTCAGGCTCGCTGACTTGGTTGACACATGTCATCGTATCCCAGTTGCGCAGATCGATGCTCATGCTGTTGATCACTGAATTGTCTGGTCCAGACTCGATTATTTACAGACCGCCGCCATATAGCTGCAATATTGCTGAGTGCGGCGTAAAACTAAACTCACTCACTCACTCACTCTATACCCTCTCGTCTATACAAAAATAATCTGTTCACATACGCTGTACAAACGTTTGATTCTACACAATCCTGAATTAAAAAAAACTTTGGCTACATTTATTTCACCAATAATATTGGATATAAACAGGGGCGGTGGGGCAACCTAGTGGTTAAAGCGTTAGCTCCTCTCGCCAAAGATCCGGGTTCTATTCTCCACATGGGTGCAATATATGAATCCAACTTCTTGTTTCCCCCGCCGTGATATTGCTGGAATATTGCTAAAAGCGGCATTAAACTAAACTCACTCACTCACTGGATTTAAACAATGATATTTGTATCTGTCTGCAGGTTGTGACTTTGAAAAGTTATAGATATAGACTGCCGAACATTTTACTCCTTTTCACGTCACGCCGAAGACCAGGGTTCAATTTAAACCCCAGATACAAAACACAAAAGCCCATTTTTGTCTGATGTCGTGATATTGCTGAAATAAACGCAGGACAAATGCAACTAAACGCAGATAAACAAGATGAAATTCGTGAATAAGAATTCAAAGTTAATTGCTCGGATCATGAACTTTGGACATTAATGCTGAGCTGATCAACTATAATCCTAGATACGGAATGGCACAATGCACACATCGATGTTCCCCATTACCTTGTTGCCCCACTGATCACGGTTTTGTGAGAAACTCCTCCTAATTCCTCAGTCAGGATGTACATATTGTTTACATAAGTAACAAAATACATATTATGTCGAAAATGTCAATTCTAATAAAATATCTAAAACTGTGTTTCTAAAGTACAGTACAGTTTTAATCCGTTTCTATATGCTGACACAGAGTACAACGAAAGACATAAAGTGAGTGAGTGAGTTTAGTTTTACGCCGCACTCAGCAATATTCCAGCTATATGGCGGCGGTCTGTAAATAATCAAGTCTCGACCAGACAATCCAGTGATCAACAGCACGAGCACAGATCTGCGCAATTAGGAACCGATGACATGTGTCAACCAAGTCAGCGAGCCTGACCACCTGATCCCGTTAGTCGCTTCTAAAACAAGCATGGGTTACTGAAGGTTCATTCTAACCCGGACCTTCACGGGTGAATGTCATAAAGAGAACTGTAGATTGAAATACTTGAAAACAAGAAAGCGTGATCAGCATTTTAAAACTAATTTGTCGCGCAAATCATGCAGGTGAACTTCTGTACCGACGATTAATATTAAGCTACAGCGACACAAGATTAAAATTAAATTTTATGTCGCAATGTACTGATAAATAAAATCAATAGAATAATAATATTTAAGCTGCGATTTCTTCTGTTTGCTCATTTTGCCATTAGAAGGCACCATACATAATGGCTTATTCGCACGAACGCAAACCTACCACAATTCTACAGCAATATTTAAGTGGGTTAAACTTATATCACGAACTATTTACATCACAGAGAAATCAATGTTCAAGTCATCTATTCTCTAGGTACGTGAGATCTGGAACCAGCATAACTCAGCTTATTATGTAGAAGGACGTGTTTTTTATCACTATGGCGACAGGAACGATATACACTGTATGAGAATTGGCTTGAATAATGTCGTCAGCAGGTGGCACTGAAGTCTTCTGGCTACGCCCGGTACATATAGAAGCGATGACTATTTCATCAGTGATACCTGAGCATGACGGGTATCATCATGACATCTGTAGCCCAGCCCCTCCTCCTAGGTAGGTCAATGTTTGCATGGCAACTGCTTCTATCTCATTACAAGATTCATATTTTCATATCTGAATATTGCTTTTCTGCGGTGAATTGATAATATAAACTGTTTTTAAGATAACAACTTCAGTCTCATTACAAGACAAGACATGCTGATATCTGAAAATATCTATTTCTGCGTTGAAGTAATAACATAAAGTATTTCTGAGACAACTTACTTCTTCTATCTCGTAACAAGATCCGTGATTTCATGTCTGAAGTGTTTTTAGAATATATACCATGAACTGTTTCTGAGGCAACACCTACCATCGCATTACAAGATTCGTGATTTCATATCAGAAAAAATGTTTTTCTGAAGTAATAATGTATACTGTTTCTGAGACACTAGCTTCTATCTCATTACAAGTTTCATAATTTAATATTCGTTATGTGTTGACTTAAGGTGAGTTTATAAATTTTCCCAAGTGATAGTTTTGAAAACATGGTCCATGTCTAATTTGTTAGGTTATCTTGAACATATTAGGACTTTCCATCCGCCTTGAACCCGTCCGCTTGCATTGATTATCTAAAAGGTCTTCTTCAAATTTACTTTGCATTTCTTGTTTATTCTTCAACAAAGGATACTTTTCATTTGTGTTTATTGTTATTGTTCTTCTGATGTTCTAAATTTGATTATCTAAAAGGTCTTCTTCTTCAAACTTACTTTGCATTTCTTGTTTATTCTTCAACAAAGGATACTTTTCATTTGTGTTTATTGTTATTGTTCTTCTGATGTTCTTCTACTTCTTCTTCTCCTTCTATTTTTCTTCTCCTTCTAATGTTTTACTTCTTCCTGCCTTCAACAAAGGATATGTTTAATTTTCAAAACATCAAGTGTTCACTCCACATTTTAGTAAAACAAGGCCTTCATGCAAACTTCTTCCATATTGTTTTTGTTTTCTAGAAAACTGAAATAACGTGTTTGTGAAACTATGAAAATGGCCAATGTATCTGGTCATCTCCCTTCCACATTCCCTATGTACGAGAGATTTTTTATACTTACGAGAGAAGCAAGAAATGCTAATTCTTGTATAGCTTTTGTAGTTAATTGCTAACTGCATAACATTTCTTTGTTGGTTTTGCTTCTCACTTTCGTTTGCAAACAGATTATTGTTTTCTTAGAATATTGTTTACACCAGGACATCGTAACAGAAACTACGCTTGTCTTGTTCGAAATTTTATATGCCACAAAAGTATTTGTCTAAATGTTTGGATAATTTGGTATATTGTCATGTATTGTGTATAAAACTACTAGTCAATATAGATGAGTTTCATTGCCGACATTTTACAGAACAAGCGTTCATGCCTAAATTAGCCGAATGGGCTAAATATTACAAATGTAAGGCTGTGATGTTAAGAAAATGATGATCACTTACCCGGCTGAGGAATAATTTTTGAATGATGATGTTGTAAAATTTAATTGATATTTTGGTCTCGAAGAAATTAGAACTGGAAAAAGAATCTGGCAAATAATAATGAGAATGGAAGCTGAAATGGAGACTTCATTTTGACAAATAAAGACAAGAGAGAAATTGTAAGATAAAAAAACTAAAAACAAACCGATTTACATATTATTCTATTTCGCTCATTGTGCTCCAGCAGTTGACAGACCTTTCATCTTTTAAAGCCGATTTAACTTGTGTCGTCCTACCTTGAACAGGATATTGAAAAGTTATTCTTACATTTTAAAAAGCTGGTAAACAATTTAACATGGCCTTAGTTATATAGGACCATGTTGCCAAGTGGTTTTAGAGGCAAAGCTCTAATTGTGTATTCTACCGTACCGTTTGATAGGATTTCTGATTATAAGACTGTAATGACTGCAGTATCAAACGCTTGGTTACCGGCAAAAGTTTAAATCTGCAAAGAAAAGGTATGCTAAAAGAATCTTGGTTTGACTGGTGGTGTCTTCTGAGGATGTCAGTAGTAATTGTGATAGTATAAGCAGTTGGGTTTGATGAAGGAGCTTAAACACCCATATGTGGGAGACAAGATGCGCCCAGATAAGTATGAAATGGCTTCTGAGAATGATTCCAGGTACAATTTGGCTGGCAATTTGGAGGTTCATTCTCTTGACCGGTCTTAATTTTCTGTAATGAACACTCAAAGTTTTGACACTGTTGCAAAATTAGTTCTTAGTGAGAAGTTGGTTCAGCTACCCTGGTGTCAAAGATCTTGCCAATAGGACTTTTACTTTGAAAGGAACTGACAAGGTTCGTGTTTGTTTCATGTTCAAGGATTTTGTTTTGATGAAAAATGGAGACAGCCTGTTGATAAAGAGATTTTTTTCTTCAGATTGTTCCCCAAAATTGATAAGGGGAACATATCTTGTTTTTGGCACATGCAACTCCTTTGGCAGGCCATTTACATGTAAACAAAACCTTTGACAAAAAATTCTGTCCTATATCATTTGTCTAAAAAACTAAAACCATTTCCAGTCTTTGAAGTACCTTTAAGCAGGATCATCACTGATTGTGTTGGTCTTCTGCGTGAAAACCATGAAAATCTTGGTTAGAATGTATCTGCAGAAACCCATGCTTATAGAAAGAGGCGACTGACTGTTGCCATTTTATCCCAATTTCGTAGATTGATGCTTGTGATGTCAATCATTGGATTGTCTGCTCCAGACTATTTATAGACCGACAAACAAACAAACCTGCGTTAAAACTGAGTCAGGCAATCAATATATGATTATTATCTTGGGAACTTCCACAAAGTTTCCAGTGCAATTCTTTACGAAAAGTCAAGGCTCTGGTTACAATCAAAGGTTTGGTAAACTTAAATATAATGGTTCTTCACTTCGTGAAGATCCGGGTTAGAATTGATGTTCAGTAACACATGCTTGTCTCCCCGTGAAGATCCGGGTTAGAATTGATTTTCAGTAACCCATGCTTGTCGTAAGAGGCGAATAACGCGATCGGGTGGTCAGACTCGCTGACTTGGTTGACACATGTCATCGTATCCCTATTGCGTAGATCGATGTTCATGATGTTGATCACTGGGTTGTCTGGTCGAGACTTGATTATTTACAGACCGCCGCCATATAGCTGGAATATTACTGAGTCCTGAATTAAACAACAAACCAGCCAACTTTCTTCAGTTTACTTACTATTCATTCAGATTAGGGAGTTTGGGTTATCTGGGGTAATAATGTCACGTATACGGTATATAGTGGCCTTATTATCATTGGCCTTATTGTCATTATTATTTTTTATATTATATAATAACCGCCCAATTCCTTTCCACGGAGTTATACTACAGTTTTATATCGTCATCATGTAGATCTACTAAGGATTCTAAGATGCCTAGCGGTTAGAACAATCGAAAAAAAAATACATTATCAGACAACAAAGGTATAGTTTTTTGATGACGTAACAATTGAATGACGTTTTCCCGTCACTGAGCCATTCTACTGTGCCCCCTCGTAATCGAACCATTTTACTTTACGTCACAATGTAAGCGACGTCACGATGCATGTCAGTTGTCATCGCCTCGTACGGCCTCCTACAGTACACTACTCCGTTGCATCCCGTTTCTTGGTTTGCAGTTGCTTCACGCAGCTAACATCACTGGTGGAAACATCACGTTTATGTTTTACGACGGTTCAAATGTGTCAATTTGACTCACAAGTTTTCAGCAACACGGTAACGTTCGCAATATTTACACTCCCACAATGCAATCGTGGAATGTCGCTTGACTACTCAGCTTCATCTGGATGTACTGATCTAAACTTACGTTGGTAGTAGAAAAGCAACGTTCATATTGCCCCATAGGGATTACGTTAATGACAGATGTAATTAAAATAATTCAGAGAAGATATTTAATCCGAACGTTAACCGTCATCAAACTGTTATCATTTTGTTTTTTCTGGTAACGTTCGTCTTAACGTAGGGGGGAAGACACATCCATAGAACATCGCGCCAGTTAGCCCTGTGCGAGGATTCTTAATTTAGGTCACCGACACCGTCGTTTGTTTTCTGCCTTAAATTAATCGTAATTATCCTCAGAAAGTCTTAAATTTGGCTTCTAAGAAAAGAAATACAGTTCGCTCTACCACCATGTATAGTGTAATAAAGCACACTTTCGCCCTGAACTATTATAACGTTAAAGCACTCGGACGCAAGCCTTCTCGTACTTTAACTATAATAGTTCAGGGCGAAACTGTGTTTTATTACACTATACATGGTGGTAGAGCGAATTGTATTTCTTAAATCACTGTGGAAAGCTGATGATACTTGATGTTCGATAAAAGGTGACCTTATCATTCTATACATGCAAAGGCAGATCAATTATTTACCTCAAACATCGAATATTACATCCACCAATATTCGAGCACCTCCGTGGTGTAGTGGTTAGAGCGTCCGCCCGGAGAGCGGAAGGTCGCGGGTCCGATCCCCGACCGCGTCATGCCAAAAGACGTTAAAATATGGTACTTGTTGGTCCTAGCCTGGCGCTCGGCATTAATGGGTACGACAAGGACTGGTCGGCTCGGAGTCAGTATAATGTGTCTGAGTGGGGTATTCATGCTTCACTGCGGCATGGTATCTCAGTGGGCTAGCACTATAAAACCAGCTTAAGTCTGGGTTAGTACAAGCAGCCGCGCACACACATACACACGCATGCACGTCGTCATATGAGCGAAATATTCTCAAGCACGACGTTAAACCCAAGTTCACCTCACCTCCATCAATATTCACTTGAGGGTGGTCGTAGTAGAGACTGTTTATCTAGTACCTATTCCTGTATCACTGTTTCAAAGCATCTAACATGAACAGAACTGCATGACCATCCCTACGAACAGATGCTGAACTCCGTAGGTTTTGTTGAAGTATATGTCCATGAATTATACACAGCTCTCTCCGCATTGTCAGAAAATAAACAGAAAGCTAAACTCACTCAGAAAATAAACAGATACACTATTCAAATCAATCAGTTTGGTCATTGTAATATTGTTATTTGCAGCTTTCCTGGTAGTTACCATAGCGGTCGAAGTAGCCCACTGCGCATGTTCTACGAATACTGATTGCAACAATGGCGGGAGCTGTCCTGATACGACCAATCCGTGCGTGTGCGTAAATGGATATAGAGGAGACACGTGTGATACAGGTTTGTTTAGATGGATCATCATCATCATCACCATCATCATCATCATCATCATCATCATCATCATCATCATGTGTTCCGAATGCAGTACAGTCCCTTGAAACAAGTTTTATGTTACATCTTTTAAAGACAATCTTGGGTGTTTATGCAGCACTATTGCATATCATATTTCATCATAATAATAGTATAAAACATTTTCCTAAAGACTATTCTACACAACGCTCTCCATCGAACTGAAGGTTTGAAAAAAATTGAAATATGTAGCTCCCTTGACGCTATCGGAAGTACTGTTGTGAAGATCCGGGTTAGAATTCATCTTCATCTTCTTGATCTTCTTGTTTGTCGTAAGGGGTGACCAACGGGATCGTTTGGTCAGGCACGTTGACGTAGTTGATGCATGTCATGGTTTCCCAATTGCGTAGATGATGTCAATCACTGGATTGTCTGGTCCAGGTTATTTACAGACGGCCGCCATATAGCTGGAATATTGCTGAGTGCAGCGTTAAACAACAAACACGGAAACAAACAAAACAAAACAAACAAACAAACAAAACAATCCAACCTGTATATGAACTGGTTCCGTTGTTGCAGCGCCCGTGTGCACTGCTGGTGGAGGCGAATGCAAGAACAGCGCATCCTGCAACACCGATAGCACTCCCTACAGATGTATATGCGTGCACGGCTATGGTGGAACGCACTGTGGTGTGGGTAAATATGTTTTACCTGCCTAAGTGAGTAAGTGAGTTGGGATTTACGCCGTTTTTAGCAATTTTCCAGCAATATCACGGCTGGGGACACCAGAAGTGGGCTTCACATATTGTACCCATGTGGTGAATCGAACCCGTGACGAGCGAACGCGTAAACCACTGGGCTACCCCATCACCCGTCTACGCACGTAAACAGCAACTGTACTGGTAACTATGTCTTTTATTGACACAGTGCGTGCGTATATATTTGGATACGATGTCATATCTTATACACCTTTATATTACTTAACCAGCTTTTGTCGTGCAGCTTTGTGAACCACCCACGCAGTACTCTTTAAGTATCAGCTCATTTGTGAGGCTACATTTTACTGATATACTTATATGTTATTTAACGCGTAGTTTCTGAGAACATTATATTTTTGAAACAAGCCCATTTCGATTGAAATGGAACCCTGGGGAAAATATACTGTAGGTTTTCTTCATTTAGTGTTATAACAGTGCAGGAAGGCTGGTGGAAGGGAAACTGATATGTCTCTGTAGATATGCTGATATGCTTTTTTGCAATTTAAATTTAGTTGTGTATTTCTCTTAAAAGTATTTATATGCAGAGATTCCGCCTTATTGTGCTATGGACTTTACTAGTTCTGCTGGAGGCGAGTTACATCGCCGGGGTCAGCTGCCCACACTTTATGTTGTCTTTTCTACTGCATGTGAGTGAGTGAGTGAGTGAGTTAAGTGCTACCCCGCTTTACAATATTATATTCCTGCAATATCACAGGGGGGACACCAGAAATGGGCTTCATACATTGTGGGATTCGAACCCCGGCTTTCGGCCTGGCGACCGAACGCATTAGCCACTAGGCTACCCAACCGCCCCTATTAATCACATGTTGGAAATTTATTTCGTAAGTTTGTAATCTAATTAATATTTTTATAAGTATGCTTATTATATAACAATTATTACACTAATTACATTCTGAGATATATCACCTTTCAAAAGAATAGTTACAAGGGTCTTTTTCATAGATTTTGTATGTAAATAATACTAATTAATTCAAAATCAATTAAAACTTAATTAATGAAGATCTAGTTAATTTTATGATTTTAGTAAAGTAATAAATGGCACTTACAACCAGAAAACCATTCAATAGAACAATTTTCATATCTTTGGAAATTTCTGTTAATTACTTACTTAATTAAGTCAAATTAAAATATTTTCTCCTCAGTGGATTTACTAAGACTTTTAGTATGACGTTCACTGATGTTGTCTGAGTACAAAACAGTTGGATTTATTTCTGTTGCAATTTGTTTAGGGTCAATATATATCGTTTCTGGGTAGTATCTAGTTACCCCATTGTTTATACTACTTTTCTGCGGAATTTCTACCGACTCTTCTATGTTGATTTAGCTCCCAAGTGTACCCCCGGCGGAGACGTATGCAAGAATGGAGGGTCATGTGACGTTACGAAATCTCCCTACTCATGCGCATGCGTGGGTGGTTACCATGGAAGTGACTGCCAAACGGGTATGTACCTGGGCTTGCAATAGACATGATGGTACGTACTTCACGACATGATCTATAAGACACATAAACGTCAATTCAAAAATTTCACGCCGATTTGGAAAAACAAATTTGCTCTAGTAATTGTGTCAATAATCATATACTGCAGGAAAAAATAAGGGATCACATGAAAGCACAAGTGTTCCTTTACTTGTTTCCAGGTTTCTTCACAAGCTAAGCGATGCAACGCTTGTGAAGAAACCTGGAAAAAATATATAGTGAACACTTGTGCTTTCATGTGATCCCTTATTTTTTTCTCTCAGTATATATCATTTTCTGTTTCTGTTAAAAAAATAATATTAAACCCCCCAAAAACAAATCCAATAACATCGAGTGTAAGGGGTTTATAATTCAGATGTCGATGTGATGTTGTTGTAGCCCCCGCTTGCGATGCAAATGGCACCGACTGCAGGAACGGAGGGTCTTGTAACAAAGACAGCGAGTCCTACCACTGTACGTGCGTCGGGGGTTTTGGTGGCGGCTACTGTGAGCTCGGTAAATGTGGCGGACTGTACCATTCTTAAACTATGTCACATATTAAAATGCCGTAATTGAACACGTAGCATATTGAGTAACATTTGTGTAGTTAAAAATGTTGTATTTTGAGTTATGTTGGTGTAGTTAGACATGTTGCAAAATGAGTTATTTCGGTGTCAAAATGTTGTATCTTGAATTATACTGGTGTAGTTAAACATGTTACATGATGCGCTTCGACAAGATTACCATAATATAACTCAAGATACGACATTTTGCACTATATACACCAAAATAACTCACTAATGTCCAGGTTATCAACACATGCTTCCATCTACAAGTTTCCACGTGTGAAGATCCGGATAAGATTGATCTTCAGCAACCAATGCTTGTCGTAAGAGGCGACTAACGGGATCCGGTTGTCAGGGTCCCTGACTTGGTTGACACATGACATCGTTTCCCAAATGCGCAGATCGATTCTCAGACTGTTGATCACTGGATTGTCCGGTCCAGACTCGATTATATACAGATCGCCGCTATATAGCTGGAATATTGCTGAGTGCGGCATTAATCAACACATCGACCAATCTTCATCAACGCAGTATACCATTTTTTCAGGCACCCATCTGAAGATTATTCTAAAAGCTTTCAGTCAGATGTGACGATTATGGTTTTGCTGTTGTAGCTCCAGCATGCACTGCCGATGGAAATGAATGCAAAAACGGAGGGTCATGTGACACAACCGAGACGCCATTCAACTGTTCGTGCGTCAGGGGTTACCACGGGAAGCAGTGTGAGATAGGTATGAGGCAAGGATGCGTTCTTTTACCTTATCTGTTACACAGTTTACATGCACTTACAGGTGCTTTCTATGGATGACAACACCCTTTTATTATTCATCCGATGTAGTTAATATCACTACATTGAATAAAGCAGCTATTATATAAAATGGTTTATTTCTAAGCCTATAAAGAACATGTTATCCGTAAAACATTTATTGCTTCATCTTCTTATAGCCCATTTTATTATAAATATTATTGTCACGGCTTTTGTTCTGAACTGTACATAGATAATATTGTGATGCTAAATGTGTTAAAATATGAAAACATGCTTTTGAGTGTAACTCTGTATAATAATGGATTTGTGTATGCGTGTTAACTTTGTCTCTCTCTATATAACAGAAGTAATCGTAGTGACGGTTTCGTTTTAATTCCAGTTTACAATATATGTACGTACAGTACTGAGAAATAGATCCCAAATATCGCAGCATAGGCAGTCATGTGACCCTGAAACTGTACCTACCAATGCAAATATATCGATTTGCAATATGCATTGTTTTACCTGAATTAATTTGCGCGTTCGCTGTTACTTCGCGCAAGACAATGTGTACAGTTTGACTGACTTGGTTCTGTCTCTGTAGCTCCAGTGTGTACTGCCGATGGGAATGAATGCCAACACGGAGGGTCATGTAACACAACACATTCTCCCTACATCTGCACATGCGTCAACGGTTACCATGGGAAACATTGTGAGATAGGTATGAAACAAGGATTCACCTCTTTTAAACACTTTGCATTCATATTTTTTCATAGAAAAACAGACCCGTGAAAACTGGAACTCATGCTTGTCGCAGTAGGTGACTAACGGCATCGGGTGGTCAGACTAGCTGACGTGGCTGGTGCATGTCGTCGTATCATGATGCTCACGATGTCAATCATTGGATTGTCTGGTCCAGGCTCCATTACAGCTGTGATATTGCTGAATGTGGCGTTAAACACCATACAGCTGACTGACTGACTGAATTTGGTTTTAAGCCGCTTTTAGCATTATTCCAGTAACATCACGGCGGGGGGACACCAGAAATGGGCTTCACAAATTGTACCCATGTGGGGATTCAAACCCGGGTCTTCGGCGTGACGAGCCAACGGTTTAACCACGAGGCTACCCCTTCCCCCCTCCAGTAATATCATGGCGAGGGACTTTAGAAATGGGCTTTACACTTCGTCCCATGAGGGAATCGAATAGTGTGTCAGTGGACTTGCACTATAAACCGGTGTGAATACAATGAATGTTAATCAACGTTAACCCTTTTCACATCATCTCAAGTCGTATTTACATTCTGTTCAGCTCCAGTTTGCACTGCGGACAGAAGCGTATGCGAAAACGGCGGAAGTTGCGTGACAGGAAGCGCTATGTACGTTTGCAAATGCGTAAATGGTTACCATGGGGATGCGTGCGAACTGGGTATGTATTAGCGAGTTTGAAAGCTTGAAAGTATTCTTCAACTGATGTTCGTCCTATCATGCTAATGAAAATCTCTTCTAGCTCCCGTGTGTACTTCCGGCGGAAGTGAATGTGAGAGCAGCGGAACATGTAACACAGACGGAGACATGTACTTCTGCTCATGCGTGAACGGTTACCATGGAGCTACTTGTGAACATGGTAGGCACACGGGTACTCACGGTTGTGACACAATATTATTTCATTTCAAGATAAATATTTGTTCTTGCTTCTTTTGGTTGTTGTTTAATGTCGTATTCAGGAATAATCGAGCTATATCTTAAATAATCCAGTCTGCACCAGGCAATCAAGTAAGGCACATCATCGATCGACGCAAATGTGATGTAGCAACTAAGAAGGCGAGCCGAGATCCCGTTAGTTGCATCTTTTTCAAATGTGCCCTTAAATATGCAATGCATTTGTCATTTGAGTGCTATGTGTTGTTCTCTTCGTAAAATGCATTATGACGTTTTTTCCATTTGGTTTTACATAATTCATTAATATTTATTAATTCAACTGAATATGACAAACTCGTTAGAGTCAGCTGCAAGTCATCATCTAAAGACAGAATGGTATTGGATAACAGAAGGAATGCTTAAACACTTTTATATTTAACGTATTTACGGTTACAACACATCCCCTGGCATGGGTCACATTCAGAGTGCGAGTAAAGGGCAGAGTTCTATAAATTATGTCCAAAATACGTTTGATTGATTAAGAACTTCTCCAACGTCTTTGGTTCCAGCTCCAGTTTGTACTGCCGACGGGAGTGAGTGCCTAAATGATGGGACCTGTAACACGTCCAACTCCACTCACTATTTTTGTGAATGCGTCAGTGGTTACAGTGGAGACCTCTGCGAAACAGGTGCGTGATAGACATGTTGCACTCAGCAATATTCCAGCTATATGTCGACGGTCTGTAAATAATCGAGTCCCCAGACAATCCAGTGATCAAGAGTATGAGCGTCAATCAACGCAATTGGGATACGATGGCATGTGTCAACTAAGTCAGCGAGCCTGGCCACCCGATTCCTGTTACGACAAGCATTGGTTGCTGATGTAAGACCAGTGATCAAAAGCATGAGCATCGACCTACGAAAATAGGATACGATGACGTGTCAATCTGACAGTCGTGTGTTGTGTCAGAGTTTCACAGAACGTCGTCAAGGTACCAAGCTCTTTTCTGGTAGATTGAGCTTTTCATGTTTTGAGCCACAACACATCCACAACTTGAGGACAGTTTATGTTTATGTCGATGTGAGCATAAAGTCGGAGATAATCTGACATAGAAGTTGATGCGAAGGTTTTATATCCGAGATAAGACGAATATAGAACTTGATGGCAATGCTTTGTATTGGAGATAAGACGAATATAAAATTTGATGATGAAGCTTCATGTTGGAGATAAGACGAATATATAACTTGCTGGTAATGTTTCACACCAGAGATAAGTCGAATCAAGTACTTGATGATGAAGTTTCACATCGGAGATAAGATGAAAATAGAACTTGATGATAAAGCTTCATGTCGGAGATAAGACGAATATAGAACTTGATGGAGCTTCACATCGGAGATAAGACGAATATAGAAATTGATGAAGCCTCACATTGGAGTTAAGACGAATATAGAAATTGATGAAGCCTCACATCGGATATATATCTTGATAAAGTAAAATCCTGTTTCATAATCAAACTTCAAATATACTAGGCACATAAAGAAACTGTGCATACAAAAAATTAAAATCAAAATTTATCAAACCTGTGTAGACACATAAGGATTTAAACTCAGAGATTAGTGACATATATCCAACATGCATGCACGTGCCACGTTCCGTGACGTCAGTGGGTTCGTCCTTGAGACTTGCAATACGTTGTTGCACGTGCATTCCGGGAAAGAGAAACAGAGCAAATGAATGCCACACAATACTGTCACTTTGGAAAGCTCAACCCCTGCCCTTACGATCGTTCAAAAAAGTAAACGGCTATTGAAACGAATAGCATGCCAAGGCTCACGTCTGCACAACGTCATGAGGCCATTGGGATGGTCCGTGGGGGAATGTCTCAACGACAAGTGGCTGCACATTTCCACTGCCACCGGAACACCATTTCTGCACTGGTGAGACGCTACCAGAACACAAATGACGTCATCGATCGGCCACGTTCTGGACGTCCACGTGTAATAACTCCAAGACAGGACACATGGATAAGGGTGACCCATCTTCGCCACAGGTTTCAGACTGCAGTGATGACTGCCCGAACCATCCCAGGACTTCGCCGTATCCGCCCCAAACACAGTTCCACAACGTTTACGTCATCACGAGATCAGACCACGACGTCCCTCCATGACGTTCCGTTCCGTGATGATTTGGGGTGGAATAACAGCACGCCAAAGAACTCCTTTGGTGATTGTTCAGGGCAACTTAACTGGTGTGGGCTACAGGGATCAGATTCTTCGACCTGTGGCAATTCCTTTTCTGCAACGTCATGGCCCTGGGTTAACATTCCAACAGGACAAAGCCCACCCTCATACGGCAAGGGTCGCTATGGATTTCTTGCAACACCACAACGTTGACTTACTGCCTTGGCCTGCAAATTCACCGGATCTCTCCCCGATAGAGCATGTTTGGGACGAGATGGATCGACGTCTACGCTGTCTTCCTCATCCGCCAGATAACGTCCTTGACCTTGCAACAGAACTTGAGAGAATCTGGCGTGTCATCCCACAAGCCTTCCTTGCACGATTGATAGGCTCTATGCGTCGTCGATGCACTGCTGTTCTCAATGCCGATGGTGGACATACCTGTTATTGAGCTTGTGACATGGTCGTTGGATCCCTGTCCCGCTTGTGGACTCATGACGTCATTGTGATTGACTTTTCAATTGAAATTCTCCCGACTTGTTATGGTCTCATGATCCCTCCATTAAAGTTTATATGTACCTTTGACATTGTTATCGTACTTATCAACTGGGATAATATTTTGACAATGCACAGTTTCTTTATGTGGCTAGTATAGATTTCGTTGCTGTTCCAACATAGATCAAGATTAAACCAGACATTCCGTCTCTGCTGCAGCTCCTGCATGTACGCCGGGCGGGAAGGAGTGTCAGAACGGAGGTTCCTGTAAAGACTACGTGTGCAACTGCGTCGGCGGTTATGGGGGCGACACCTGCGTCACAGGTGAGCATCACGTGAATGGCTATATACCAATATATACATTCTTTGGGTAAACATGTGACACGTTTCCTTTTTATCTATACTGTACTTAAAATCTGTACACAGTTTCTCAAATGATGTTTCCCTTCGGGGTTACTCGAACAAACCCTTTAAAATGCTTCTCGTCCGAATACATTTCCCCCATAAACTTGCTCCAATGTTTCCTTGATCCCGAATGCAGTGGCTCCTTTAGCCGCGGGGCGGTGGGGTAGCCTAGTGGTTAAAGCGTTGGCTCGTCACGCCGAAGACCCGGGTTCGAATCCCCACATGGGTACATTGTGTGAAGCCCATTTCTGGTGTCCCCCGCCGTGATGTTGCTGGAATATTGCTAAAAGCGGCGTAAAACCAAACTCAGTCAGTCAGTCAGTCCTTTAGCCGCACTTATGATCTGTGTCAACGGACAATTCGCTAGCTTCATGCATAGTGCGAGGATTCGGTTCCGTTTATTTATTATACTGTATGCAGTGTGTCGAGTTTATGAACTCATAGGGAATGAATCCTTGCACAGAAAATAACCAATTCGAACCATATAATGTTGTGAGAAAAACATTAAAATAACATTATCACTTATATAACGTATAAGAATGGGCGCAATTGACACGAATGAAAACATGGCGAAATCGTGCACGTCGGCGACGTTCGAAAAACAAAATCTGTTCTTGTGAAACAGAAAGTGAGAAACAAATGTGTAACGAAGTATGCGTTGCCAATCTACAGTTCCAAACCCAATGTCATTACTTGCACATATAGAGCAATAAACGTTCGTAGCAGCAACAGTGATCAAACTTCCAGAAACACTAACTAAGTATGGTTTTACGCCGTTTGTAGCAATATTCCAGCAATATCACGGCGGGGGACACCAGAAATGGGCTTCACAAATTGTACCCATGTGGGGAATCGAACCCGGGCCTTCGGCGTGACGAGCGAACGCCTTAACCACTAGGCGACCCCACCGCCCCGTCCAGAAACAATGTGATGCAGTTTCAACACTGTGCTACTATCCAGGGACTCAACATTGAAAATACGTTCCTCGAGTAATAAATGGAACATACATAAAAATACATTCTTGGGAAAATACATGGGACATACATAAAATACACTCCTAGAGTAATAAAATGGAACATACATAAATGTACATTCTCAGAGAAATAAATGGAACATACATAAAAATTCATTCCTAGAGAAAAACATTCCTACAGAAATACATGGAACATACAAAAAAATACATTCTTAGAGAAATTAATGGAATATGCATATAAATACATTCCTAAGGAAATACCTGGAATATACATAAAAAAATGCTTCCAGAGAGAAATGCATGGAATGTACATGAAATACGTTGTGGAGAAATACACGGAATATATATATATAAATACATTCCCAGCAAAATACATTGGATACACACATAAAATACATTTATGGAGTATTGATGGAATATAACGATGTACGCTAAGGTGGATGCTTACATGTTCATTTGTTCATGTTTGTACTCTAATGGGTCACTGGAAAATGCGCCAGTAAAATATACCTAGCGAAGGCACTTCACATCTTGCTTCTGCTGTCGTTCCTGTTGCAAATCAGTAAGTTTGGTGAAACGTTTGAGGTCGTTCCGGCTGCATCTCAGTAAGTTTGGTGAAACGTTTGAGGTCGTTCCTGCTCCATCTCAGTAAGTTTGGTGAAACGTTTGAGGTCGTTCCTGCTCCATCTCAGTAAGTTTGGTGAAACGTTTGAGGTCGTTCCTGCTCCATCTCAGTAAGTTTGGTGAAACGTTTGAGGTCGTTCCTGTTGCATCTCAGTAAGTTTGGTAAAACGTTTGATGTAACAGGAACGACGTGGCAGAAATATTAGGTGGAATAGTCAGATTAAATATACTAGCATTCAAAAAGGACGTACGTGCGTGTATGTGCATGCACGTGATTATGTTGCTATGCATGTGCGTTGCTATAAGTGCAATACCACGGGGATGGAACCCGCGACCTTCCGCTCTCCGGGCGGACGCTCTAACCACTACACCACGGAAGCGGTTTCGTAGCTTGAGTTGGCTTTTACGCCGCTTTTAGCAATATTCCAGCAATATCATAGCGGGGGACACCAGAAATGGGCTTCAGACATTGTACCCATGTGGGGAATCGAACCCCGGGCCTTCGGCGTGACGAGCGAACGCATTACCCACTAGGCTACCCCACCGCCCCTTCGCAGCTTGAAGCCACAAGAGACACATAAGAATTTAGCAAAGGATTTGATTCAAAATTATTCACGACATTTAAAGTATGATTTTTGAATCTGTTGTCTCTCCAATGTATGTTTCTAGAACCCGTGTGCACCACTGGAGGGAAGCAATGTCAGAACGGAGGCACGTGCATCACGAGCACTGATCCATACTGGTGCACGTGCGTGAAGGGTTACACGGGCAAACTGTGTGGTGAGTATAATATATACCCCCCGGTATCAGGGGTTTTCGACGATGTAAGACAAAAACGTATTTTGTATGTGTAATATCATTTGAAGTTTTAATTTTACTAACCTTGGGTGATAAAGGATATATTCATCTATTTCACACAAAAATATCAAGTGTTTCCTACAAAAATAAGGTTGATGACATCGTATCGGCGACACTATTGCCGTTCGCCACATCCGTGGATTTTGTATGGGTTTTCGACGAGGAGCCATACTTTTCGCTCCGCACTGCGAGGGATTGTTGTGATAAAGTGGCTTTCTATTTACATATTGCCTGTCACCAGCAGACGAATGACCTTACTGAAATTTCGCTGGCTATTTTTTGTTATAAAGGCAATTGATTTTGCATCTGAAGTGGTATCAACGATCTCGGGTAAATAATATTGATGTTTGTTTGCTTTTTAAACAACTTAACTTCCGGTTTTCAATTGTCAATAAAACTTCTCACGACAGACTTGGCATCCGCCCTGGCGATGAAATTGCTTGTGCTAACCGATCGCGCACGTACTCCCCCGATATAGCGCCAGCAATACAATCGTCGAAAACACCAGAACGTCGAATTCAGCTCGCTGTGGGATATTACATAATATACAATACATAATACTGGAAACGTCAGTGACAAATCAGCCTTTTCCCGGGGTCTGCTGTGGCAGTACTATAAAGGGGTAACAACTTAATTATAAATCTCCTTGCATGTAAATACACTCAGTTGGACAAATATCAGACTCTATCGCTAAACATGATTGATACAGATCAAAAACACTATTTTCTAGTTACTATTACTCAGCGTTCAGTTTATTTACAGCACACAAAAGGAGAAAAGGGCCGAAATCATCGAAATATACGTCATCAAATTTGCTAAAATAAAGATGCTAACTATATTTAATCGATGTGATCGTTCCAATCCATGTTTTATGAATATGATATCGTGACAATAGCGAGCTGACAAAAAATATCAACGCACATGTCCGTGTTGAAAATGGGGTGTGTGTCAATGTTGCCCATGTAACGACAACTGTCGTGTCTCGAAACTGCTCAATAACGTTTTCGTACACTGAAAGTAACGAAGGGCGTTGTTCTGGTGACGTATGCTTTGCTATAGCATCGATGAAAATGCTATGAAAAAATTCTAACCACCCTTTCTCTGATTTTAAGTAAATATGTGCCGTGTCTCCCAGTAGTGAAGGCCGCCATTGGCCGCCATTTGGTAGTCATTGCCGGGGTCAGTGTCGAAACGTAGTAATGAATATTTATTACTGCAAACAGTAACATTGTTCTTTAGTACCCTTAAGATAAATTTGTCGAATTCTGATTGGTCGAATTCTGATTGGTCAATAGTCAAAGCATACCAAACCATTTAGGCGGATTTACCAGGGAGTACGGACGGTAGACTCCGTCAAATCTGTCATGTGACACACTACGCGGGTTGTATGAATGACCTTGACCTTAGATGAATTGTGTCTGCCAAACGGGTGATCGCTTCGAACTTTTTGTGTTGGCGTTTACAATAATGAGTATTGTTGCCATAATTTCTTACTTGTTTGTGTCAATAAATATATCCAAAAAATAAAATGTTTCTGTATTTCACTTGTCGTTTAACAAAACCTCAAATTCGATATTTCTTTATCATAAACTAAGCCATCCTGAGTTATCTCCCTTCAACCGTTCAGAAAAAATCATGGCGAAACGTTTTGCGTCTCATTCTGCCGATGACTGAATGTTGTTGTTTAAAGATAAGCTAAATGAAAAGATCTTAAGGGTAATAGATTCGTCACACAGTGTTTTGAAAGGGAGTACGCGACTGTAAGACCCTTGTAAAAAGGATATTCTTATTGGCCAGCAGAGTTACAAAAACCCCACGATATGGGAATAGGGTACGTGCTATGTACGCTTCAGAATGTAATTTTCAGTGGTCCATTCACATGATTGGACCGAAAGTGTATCCGTTTCGTTGGATGATCGAGATTGGTTTGACTTTGGAGTTGACGTTACATATGATATTGTTTCGTGAAGCTTGTAAAAGGAATATGGAGATGGAGAATGTTAATTTGTTCCCATTTCGTTTTACAGTTTGAACATGTAATCGGTGTACCGTAGATACTGGAGAGAAAGTCCACTAAAATATCTCTTCAAATGTAGAAAAAAATTAATTGTTCTTTTTACAGTTTACTTTGAGTGTCAAAGCCTATACTTCTTTCAAGCCACCCATGTCTACAAACGAGAAAATTGGCAATCAGCTGTTATCGTTATATTGCATTATTAATTGTTTTTCTTGAAACACTTAATACGTAACGTAATCATAATAATTTGCGGTCAGGGTGCCCTTCCACTAACCGATCTTAGCTCTAAGCCAATCGTAGACCCCTAAAACCAAATCTTAGCGTGACGTTACGATCGGCTTACCGTTCCACTAACCAATCTTACCCAAGTCAATCGTAAAGTTAAGATCCAAAGTCTAAGTTGCTCATGACCAACGGCCAATAGCAAACAGTGCGTGTGGTAAACAGGGTGTGAGGTAGAGGATGCCTCGTCACGCCTTGTTTATTCTGATCGACAAGGTTCAGCCACACATTATGCCTGATACCCAGTGTTCACAGCCATTTGCCCCTGAAACCAAGAGGCTCACTACCCTAATATTTTTCTCGAGGAATTGTCTCCACGTTTTCACTTGGTACCAAAACTGCTTCCATCGTCTTCTACAGTACCAGTATGCAAAAAGAGAACTCGTGCCGTGCATTTCTCTATCTCTCTAACGAAAGAGTCTCCATCTAAGCTTTGATCGGATCGTAAGATCGGGACCGGCTACGATCGGCCTAAGATCGGTTAGTGGAACGGGTGTAACTTTTAGCTAAGACGATTGTAAAATTGGCGTAACTTGCTAAGATTGATCTTAGTTAAGATCGATTAGTGGAACGGCACCCAGAACGACAATACCGTTTCCACATCCAAGAAATCCCCTCTAAACACAGAGTCAATTGTATAGTTATTTCGAATTGCTATCAAAACAGTGATGACACCAGGTTTTGGCCAAAGTTGGGGGCATCATGAAATAACGTTACCAGCATAAATACATGCAAAGGCTTGTCAATTATTACCTAAAACCCGAAACGTTATGGAACAACAATATGGAATTGCAGAGGACATCGGTTTTGTATCAGAAATTCCCCCTACATGTGTACGACGGAACGTTTGAAAGAAAAAAATGGACAACATATTGAACCCCTTAACTGTAAAATTATTTGATGAACTGCTGGAGTGCACTGAATTAAGCCGTTTCAGTAACCCATGCTTGTCCTAAGAGGCGACTATCGGGATCGGGTGGTCAGGCTCCCTAATTTGGTTGACACATGTCATTGTATCCCAATTGCGTAGATCGATACTCCTGAATGTGATCACTGGATTGTCTGGTCCTGACACGATTATTTACAGACCGCCGCCACATACCTGAAATATTGCGGCGTTATACAACTAACAAAAATTAATAATTCGTTAAACAATAGTGTTTAAAGCATGTTTGATAACTTCTTCCATTCCAGAGAGTGGCGCTGAGTGTGTGGCAGCCTTGGCGTGGTCATTGATGGCGTCTCTTGTTGCCAGCTTCTATCTCCTATAATCAATATCTTCATGTGAGGTGGTTTGTTAAAATGTGTAATATGATAAATTAATGGATGCAGAAACGTTTTTCAATTGACCTTCCTTTTTCAAGTTCGTAGTGTGTAACTGTTTAACTTTCTTTGTTGTACTTGTAATAAAATATATGTGTTAAAACATGAAGCACACAACAAAGAAACTACAGACTATTTTCGAATGCATGATAAGAAACAATTACTGTTGACATTTCATGAAGATGCATTTGATAATTTAATTTGATTTATATCGCACATTTGGTTACAAACGATGACGCGAGATCTCCTAGTGGGGTTCGCTGATAACAACTTGTGGCCATTCAAGTAACATTTCAGTAATATATTCTGTTTTGAAATCTCCATCCGATGGATACAATGAGGTAGAATCGGTGCCTCAAATCACCAGCCTTAAAACATCCTTATGGTATTGGTCAAGAACATTTGTTGTACTCTCAATTAAAGCATGAACAATTGTAAAATGCAGTCGACGCCTTTAAGACAACTTTATCTTAAACACAAACCATCATCCAAGTATTTATAATATTTGTGTATCGCAACCCGCCTCGTTATAGCGATAGTAAAACCTGCCGGCGACAAACTTCACCCTTGATACAGGTATCATTTAGTTTAAAACAACATTACTATATTCATCCGTATTTGAGAACCGTACAATAAGGTATGGGAGCCTTTACTGAGATGCTTTCATTGAATAATTTGAAACTGAGGACGGAAAGACTATGCACTTTAATCATTGACCCATGTAATGGGTTCCACAGGGGCACCTGTTCCCGGTAATACACTGTTAGTGCGTTCTCTGTTGTGTACTTCCTGTGTTCGAACCTTGATGACGTGTCGAATAACTGTCGAGCTTCAGATGTTCCACTGAATAAAGGCGCAGTTCACAACCCTCCCAGGTCTCCTTGTCATTTGAATACGTGTCTATGTTTTTTGTTTGTTGTTTAAAGCCGCACTCAGCAATATTCCAGCTATATGGCGCCGGTCTGTAAGTAGTCGAGTTGGACCAGACAATCCAGTGATCAACAGCATGATGACATGTGCCAATCTAGTCACCGAGCATGATCCATTAAAACCGCCTCTTACGACAAGCATGGTTTGCTGAAGACAAACACTTACCCGGAACTTCACGGGTATATCAGTATGTCGCATTCGGTGTTATTCTTACAACTTAGTAACTTCATCGCATGACTGACAGAGTTTGTGTAACCCCGCACTCAGTATTCCAAGTACATGATTTCTGTAAATAATCGAGTCTGGATCAGACAATCTAGTGATGGACAGCAATTGAGATCTGATGACATGTGTCAACCAAGTCAGCGAACCTGATCCCCCGCTCCCGTTAGTCGCCTCATACGACAATCATGGTTTGCTGAAAACCAATTCTAACCACGATCTTCACGAGTCCTATTAAAACGTTTGCTTGTTCCTATAAAAAGAACGAAAGCGTTAGTGAGATACAGAATAGACTCCTTACAATAGCGATGAGTGAGTATTTTGTTTGGCCCTGTTAACAACGTTTCAGTTTCACGTACAACATGTTTGTAGGTTTGTTGTTCAACACCTCACTCACTCCAGGTATATAACGGCGGTTGTTAAATAATCGAGTCTGGACCAGACAATCCTGTGATCAACAGCTTGAGCATCTTCAACGCTGTTGGGATACGATGACATGTGTCAACCAAGTCAACGAGCCTGACCACCCGATCCTGTTAGTCGTCTCTTACAAGCAAGAGTTTCTGAATTCCAATTCTAACCGTGATCTTCACGGGTCCTGCAACATGTGAATGTTTTGTTGAGTAATGCAATGTTGTTTATGCCAACGAAATGTTGAAACCGATTTCAATTCACTTCTCCTTTCAAAAACCATTCAGCTTCATTTGAACGCCTAGATTAGGAAATCGATCTGTATAAATGACAATTTTGTAACAGATTAAATTTGTACCCACCGTAGTACACCGTGTCCAATGAAGGTGTCATGGCGCTCAGAAACGACTGGGTATGGATAATGTCCACAATATAACACGGATGCTTTGGGTCTCCCTGATTATGTTTACATTCGATATACCTGACTAAATTTATGCTATTCCAAAAAAGAAACGCATAACCCAGAAATCCGTTGTGAACATGTTGTATTTTCAAACATGTATAACTCGTCCACAAGTAGACTTTAAGAAATGAATTTATACTTCAGTTTAGAAGAAGGTAGTGTCTATACAACCAAGTGGATAATTTTAGCTAACGGAGACGTTGAGCCCGATGGTGACTACGTAGCATGGTCCCGACGTCGGGTCTCCTGGCCCTCTGTCCAATCTCTCTCAACCTGTTCCGCACAGTTTGACCGGACCGGAAGTCCAGGCACCCTAACTGCTGTGCTCTCACACGTGGCAGTACGATCACGCAAATGTAATACCCGGATGTACCAATCTTGGGCTGCAGTGGTGACTCGAGGTCTGGCTGTACATTTGTTATACCTGTTTGGTTGTAACGAGCTGCAAGCCGTGATATCGTGCTCAGACTAACATTCAGACGCCTGGCAACAGAAATTTGGTAATCTCCAGCGTGTATTCTTTCAATGGCGATGTTCCGTGTCGCAGCGTCAAGACTTGGCGTAGTGATTTGACCTTGAAACTCCTTCAAAATGGATGCCAGTTCCCGAAAGTAATATGGATATTTAAAGCCAGACAGTGCATGCTCTTTGCTGCACAATTTCAACTGGAAGGTGATTTCTGTTGCGTTGTGGCGATGCCTTTTTAATTCGTGTAAGAAATCTCATCAAAATCAACATTTTCAGGTAAAGTCGACTTTTCACTTGTGCAACTGTTAAAATCATGTTATGAACACTTTTGTTACATATTTTGACGATTGTTTGAACACAATAGGTAATTAAGAGATTTAAAAAAATACAAAACGCCTATGCGTTTCTTTTTGGGGATAGTATACTTACAAACTAGGATACTGGCTGGTACCGATAATTTAAGATCCAAGACACCTGTTGTCAGATTAGAAAGTTTATCCCGACTCTAGACCACACAGCCCTGTGAAAGACATCATGCGCATCGATCTACCCAATAGTGAGTGAGTTAATATTTAACGTCACATCGGCAATATTTCAGCCATATCGTGACATCTACCCAATAGGTGACATGTGTCAACCAAGTCAGCGTGCCTGACCACCCGATCACATCAGTCGCCTCTTATGACACGCATGGGCTTCAAAAGGCCACCCGGATCTTCAAGGGTTAACTAAACATGGTCATGTCCTTTGCATAATTATTTTTAAGAAATTAAAGGATTTTAAAGCTTAACTTTTGTATGAACACATAAAATGGAAACAAAAGTTCAGATGATTTATTTCCAAGAATTACAAGGCTTAGAAAGTTGAGCTTACCACGCAGAATAATAGTCGCAAAGTGAGTCTAGTCTTTAGAAATATCGAAAGGTACCGACGATTTATGACCGTGATATGGCGAAGTATCTGGATCCTTTGATGACCTACGTTCAAAGTTTACAGTTCCGGTTATAGTAAGCCCAGTCCGGAAGGACACGGTGGAAGTCAGTGCCTTTGTCCAGCCAAGAAAATGACATAGTGTTGCATTTCTCATCGGCGAAATAGTATTCATAGCTTTTGCACAGGAATGTGGTTTCATTGAGACAGAACTGTTGGCAGGATGCCACGGAAAGACCGAAAACGGTTTTGGTATTCGAAGACTGTATTGCACGGTCAGAATATGAGGTGAAGGTCGATCCGTAGTTTGTGCAGTCTGAAAAAAGAATACATGCTTTGTTTTGCTTTGTTTTGTTTTGTTTTGCCTAACGCCGAACTCAGCAATATTCCAGCAATATGGCGGCGGTCTGTTAATAATAGAGTGTGGACCAGACAATCCAGTGATCAATAGCATGGGCATCGGTCTACGCGACTGGGATACGATGACGTGTCAACCAAGTCAGCGAGCATGATCCCGTTAGTCGCCTCGTACGACAAGCATGAGATACTGGAGATCAGTTCTAACCCGGATCTTCACGGGTAACATGTTTTGTACATAGTGATAATAGCCGGTTTGCCATGAGTGCGTTAATGGGTTCGCCAGCAATATGCATCGAGTTTACCAAAGTGAGAAGAGCTTCATTATTTTTCCTTTCCTGCCGCTTTGAGCTGCCATGACGTGACATACTGCTCAAAGCAGCTTTTAGAAATATTCCAGCAATAATGGTCTTCGCAGATGTGAGGAATCGAACCCGGGTCTTCGGCGTGATAAGCAATGGGGGACCAATAGACTCCCCTGTAGTAACATCCTACGCACTGAATCACTCCCGTATGGCAAGACGGCTTGCCGTTCTCATAGGTTTTGGTACACGTATATGATGAAATATCCTACCTCTGTCACATGTGTCGTACCCCTTGTGTCTGGAGTGACTGTAGCCGATATCACACAGACACTGTCCAGATTCACAGACAGACCTGTCGCCAGAACAGTCACTGGAACTGTTACACATCTTGCCAATGAAATTAAGGGCTGTTGAAGAAAACATGGTCATAATGTATTTCTTATTAATCAAAGGCTGTGAAGAAATATGGTTAGAATGAATATCTTAGTACATTCGAAGCTGAAACTTAAGCTCTATCCTCATAAGTGGTATGAACTGGAAGAGAAGAAGCTACACACATTCTCACCTCTACACATCAAGTACATGCTGAAGCCGGGATCGTCAACAGTTGTAACGTTGTCCGGAGACCTGACGTCCACGTTGTATCCGCGACACTGACCACTGCCCGGGGTGTACCCTGCCATCATACACTGACCATCCTTCATGCAACTCCTCACACAGATTATCCGAGTGTCCACCGCTTCTACTGACCAGATCAGGCCCTCGGTGACTCTCTTGTTGTCGAAGTCCGACATTGCCTTCACCCAACAGGAGGGGGAACAGGTTGATGCAGACAGTTGAAAAACATGAAGATAAAAGATACCAAGGGTTACAGGAAGTTGCACATACATGATCTTGCATGAATCCACCCCTGCCTCAATATGACCATCTGGCTGTAGGTGTCCACAACGGCAGATAATTTATTGATTACATGCACAATGGAACAATACAGATTATACTTTCGTATAATCAGTTAAGCGCGGCCAGACAAAATACAACGACTCTTTGTTGGCCGTTGAATCAAAGAGCCAATAAAAAGTCCACGGATTTCTCGTTTCCTCTTCAGTTTCACTAACGAGCTTCTTTCAAATGAACACTTGATGACACAAAGAATGGCAACGTAATGCACCTACTGCTCTCTGTTCAGACATTACCTTTTGGCCGTTCGATCAAACAGTAACCCGAATTTGAAAGCAGTGTGGAGACGTCGTTTCAATTGTTAAACCAGCGTTCCAGTTACAACAGTGGTAAACCCATTAGGTTTCATACAAGGAATTGATTTGTGATTTTCAACGTCTCAGAGATAACAATGATGTCCATTAGTGTTTAGAATTATTGGTGCGGGTACAGTCTTTCAACTCTCAACATAGTCATCTGCTTACTTTGAGCTGCAACGATGTCCCGGCATTTGGTAGAAACTACTGCCTGTTCTCTATCATCTTTCACTCGAAACTAAAAATTGCACTTTTATTTAAAGGTTTATAAATCGATACTTTTGTTTGTTTGTGGATAATCACCACGATCTGTAAATACTCCATCTTAGACATCGATTGGAATACAATGACATCCATCTGTCAAGTCAACTAGGCTTTCCGCCCGACCTTGGAAGTGATTTTTACGACAAAGGTGGATTGGTGAATATCGATCCTAGCCCGGTTCCTCACGTTTCATAAATCGATATTTGGCTAACTGTTTGGAACTTTATTTTTTTCCTGAAAGTTGTCCACAAACACGACCGGCTGTTTGGAATTTCCAAAACTGAGAGATGTACTTAAGAATTCATTTGCTACATTTGTGTTACACGCAAATTCTCAACTGGCCTCTCAATCAAATCAAATTAGACATTTGTATAGCGCTACATATCCAGAGTCCTGCTCATGTGCGCTTAGTCGAATGCTCGTTTGAAGAGGTAGGTTTTGAGACAAGATCGGAAACTGTTGATATTTTCCGATTTTCTGACATTTACAGGTAATCCATTCCAGAGTACAGCACCCGCTCTGCTAAATGTTCTGTCCCCGTATGTTGTGGTTCGGACAGATGGAACATCTAAGCTTTGCTGACTAGCTGATCTGAGTGACCTTCCAGGCTTGTGAGGTTGACTAGTTCCTGGAGATAGAATGGAGCAAGTCCATTAAAGGACTTGTAAACAAACACATGAAGTTTGAATACTACTCTGTCTTTTACAGAGAGCCAGTGTCCTTCGGGACTGGTGTTATGTGCACATACATATGTGTACGTGTTATGAGCCTGGCAGCTGTGTTTTGAACACGCTGTAGCTTGTCCATGTACTTCTGCTGTATTCCATAGAGTAGACTGTTGCAGTAGTCTAGACGTGATGTCACAAATGCATGGGTTAGGCATTTTACTGATGGTGTGTCCATGTATCTGCTAATCTGTCTCTGGTTGCTAATTTGGCCTCTGGTTACAAGAATAGTGAGTGCGTGAGTGTGGAATATTTTACCTCGCTTTTAGCAATATTCCAGCAATATCTCGGCGGAGGACACCAGAAAGTTGGACCCATGTGGAGAATCGAACCCGAATCTTCGGCGTGACCGGCATGTGCTTTAACCACTACCCCACCGCCCCTGTCAAGAATGGGATCTAAATGACACAAATTTGTACTAACAAATTCGAGGCCATGCATTTACTGGCCTTACAGCTTTTTGATCCATGTAAACGTAGAAAACACTTATATGTTCTATTTAATCTGTATATTTTATACACACAAAGTTTTATCACATCATTTATCATTGTATCACATCCTCATCTTCCATCTTTTCATCCTAATCATTATGTTTTCCACAGCTTGTCCAACATTAGACTTCATCATTCGGTACAATTGTCTGACACCTGGGAAATATACTATTAGCTACAGTATGTGTACATGTATTGCTCAAAAGTACAAATTGTGGAAAATCAGCCCTGGCCTTGCTGGCACATAAGTTAGCGTCACCGACACCTAACATAAACTTAAACTAATGTCACCGACACCTTATATACCCTAAAACCAGCTTCAGCATCATCGACACCTAAGATAAACTTAAGTTAGCGTTACCGACACCTAACATAAACTTAAGTTAGCATCACTGACACCTAACATAAACTTAAGTTAGCGTCACCGACATCTAACATAAGCTTAAGTTAGCATTACCGACACCTAACATAAACTTAAGTTAGCGTCACCGACACCTAACATAAACTTAAGTTAGCGTTACCGACACCTAACATAAGCTTAAGTTAGCATTACCGACACCTAACATAACTTAAGTTAGCGTTACCGACACCTAACATAAGCTTAAGTTAGCATTACCGACACCTAACATAAACTTAAGTTAGCGTCACCGACACCTAACATAAACTTAAGTTAGCGTTACCGACACCTAACATAAGCTTAAGTTAGCATTACCGACACCTAACATAAGCTTAAGTTAGCATCACCGACACCTAACATAAACTTAAGTTGGCGTTACCGACATCTAACATAAGCTTAAGTTAGCGTCACCGACACCTAACATAAACTTAAGTTAGCATTACCGACACCTAACATAAACTTAAGTTAGCGTCATCGACCCCTAACATAAACTTAAGTTAGCGTCATCGACGCCTAACTTAAACTTAAGTTAGCATCACCGTGCCCTAACATAAACTTCAGTTAGCGTCATCGACACCTAACATAAACTTAAGTTAGCATTACAGACACTTAACATAAACTTAAGTTAGCATTACAGACACCTAACATAAACTTAAGTTAGCATTACAGACACTTAACATAAACTTAAGTTAGCGTCACCAACGCCTAACAGAAACTTAAGTTAGCATCACCGTGCCCTAACATAAACTTAAGTTAGCGTCACCGACACCTAACTTAAACTTAAGTTAGCATTACAGACACCTAACATAAACTTAAGTTAACGTCACCGACACCTAACTTAAACTTAAGTTAGCATCACCGTGCCCTAACATAAACTTAAGTTAGCGTCACCGACACCTAACTTAAACTTAAGTTAGCATTACAGACACCTAACATAAACTTAAGTTAACGTCACCGACACCTAACTTAAACTTAAGTTAGCATTACAGACACTGAACATAAACTTAAGTTAGCATGACCGACACCTAACATAAACTTAAGTTAACGTCACCGACACCTAACATAAACTTAAGTTAGCGTCACCGACACCTAACATAAACTTAAGTTAGCGTCACCGACACCTAACATAAACTTAAGTTAGCGTCACCGACACCTAACATAAACTTAAGTTAGCGTCACCGACACGGTGCACACCCTTTAACTACAGTCACAGACTGTTACCGTTTACAACCCAGGGTCACTGACATCTTACCTACCATACAACTAGCATCACCGACACCTAACACAACCTTAAGGTACTCTCACCTAATATACCTTTAAAGTAAATTTCAAATTATCCAGATCACCACCAAAACCCTTTCTGAGCTTTACTGAGACCTTGAATCTTGTAAACGTAATCAAAGAACTTCTGCGCAAGAATCGTATGACGCTCTGTGAAAAAGCATGCTCGAATGTACCTCAAAAGTTGAAAAATGAAGGTACTTTGTCAAAGCATTTACTATGGCTGTTGGCATGACGGTTCGCTTAGCCAGTTGACTTTCAACAGAACATACCTAGACACGTCAGGTGCCTCCGGTAATACACTCCTGCTTGTGTATTTGGTTCAAATGGTATTCAATGCATGCAAACTGTTAAGGGTGGAAAATATACATCCATGGTATTTAGGGTGTGAAGTTTTCACCCACCCCTGTTGAATGAAGTTGTCTTACGTCACAGTTACATGTCTAACAATTTGATAAAAGGCATGATTACCTGTATGGTGTTAACAAGCTAAGACAAGATGGGGCCCAGGGAATTGCTGTGAGAATTGCCGTGAGAGTTATGTGGCAAGCAGCTGACGTCGCTGACGTCGTTGACGTTAAATGTGAACGTACCCTTATGTTCTCACGACATACAAATGACCCCTCAGTCTGGTACAGCGTCCATCCACCAGCAACAATTCCTGACTGGGCTACATTCGGAAACTTGTTTTTAGTTATCGTTTACAATTTTTTAGGCTAGGCTTTTCAATGAATTTACCCGATTTTCGTCCATATCTTATTAGTTCTTTGACAAGTCCTCCCTTGACTGAAAATTCAAGCAAATCAACGGAGGCGGCTATAAATCTCCAATGGTAGGATTGAGATGCTGGATATTGTTTGAGGCAGTCTGTTTTGAGAATCTATTTTATACAGTGAGATGAGGTAAAATGGGGTTTAACGTCGAGAATATTCACGACGTGCATGCGTGTGTATGTGTGGCTGCTTGTACTAGCCCAGACTTATGCTGGTTTTATAGTGCTAGCCCACTGAGATACCACGCCGCAGTGAAGCATGAATACCCTTCTCAGACACATTATACTGACTCCGAGCCGACCAGTCCATTAATGCCGAGCGCAGGGATCAACAAGTACCATATTTTAACGTCTTTTAACGCTCTAACCAAAACTAGGAGGGGGTCGAGAATCTACAGGAACTGTAAATGCTGTAAAGTACGATTGTCGCATTTTAAATTCTTCATAACTGTAGTTCGTTATACGCATTTCGACTAAACTATACAGCAAGTGGTCATGGCTAATAGGGGCGGTGGGTAGCCTAGTGGTTAAAGCGTTCGCCCGTTATGCCGAAAACCCGGGTTCGATTCCCCACATGGGTACAATGTGTGAAGCCCATTTCTGGTGTCCCCCGCCGTGATATTGCTGGAATATTGCTAAAAGCGGCGTAAAACTAAACTCACTCACTCATGGCTAATAACACGTTCGTTATAAACGTCAGTTCGTTATAAGCGTGTTCATTACATGATGATGATGATGATGATGATGGTGATGATCCATGCTCACACTTTGATACAAACGTGGATTAAAGTGACTGTTACATGAGATGACAAGTCACTGTGTTACAAGTCATTGTATTACTATACTGATTAAACCCGAAAATGAGGATTCTCTTGCTACAGTAAGTTGCTCTTTTTAATGCAGTCAGTTTATGATCATCCTGACATATTAGTAAAAACCAAACAAGACTGTAATGAGCAAAACAATTTTAATAACATAAATAGGCAGACGTGTTGTTAAAACGTTACAATTACATATCATATAATTTGATGAAAGTCCGGAATAAGTGTGTGGCCAAGGGAATTGCTGTGTGTTAAAACGTTAATAACGCACAGCAAAGGCAAGACATACCTGGTATGATAACTTATTTATTATATTCTAATATGACGTTTCGTTAAAGATCTTTATGCCGTTGTCAATGTACCGTAAGTCCCCATGGTCCCTAGTATGGTGATCTACCTTCAGTTGTTGGCAATATATAGCCTGTTTTTACATCTATAAAGCCTGTTTTTACAATGTGTCCATTTATATAGCGCCAAACTCCACACTAGGTATGCTCATAGCGCTAACAATCAAGCCCAGCACATTATTACCCCTGATAACCCTAGCTGCCTGTTAGGCGCTAAAAGGTTATAGTCATATGACTTTTTCCACCGGGTACCCATTTTCCTGCTGGGTGAACAGAGACAATTTTGAACAAACTCACTTGCCTAAGGTGAGACCACATGTGTCACATATGCTTCGGTGTGGGACAGGACTCAAGTCCTAGAGACTCTCAGGAGTCAAGCTGCCAAACACGGTCACCCATCCAAGGACTCACCGAGCTGCTTAACTTCACCGATTTGTGACCTGAGCTTTGAGCACTTGACCACGCGCCACCACATCTTGTATTGTCATCTATAGTTTAACTGTTTTAGATTGAAATACTTGTTTTAAATTCGAATCTGTGATAATCTAGTTATTTTACTGTCCTTCGTTGACAGGTTTTTCAATTTACCATTACTTACTATGTATAAAAATAATTGTTCTCGTCACGATATGGCTGAAATATTGCCGATGTGACGATTAATTTTAACTCACTCACTTTATGCCGTTGTCAAGTAAAGGTTACGGCAATGTATTTAAAAAAATGATAGCTTAATTCTATTATGATGCCACGTTTCAGTGTAGGTCCTCTTGCTGGTCAACAACATAACAATCTATACCGCAACGTCAAATAATAACAGAGTGAGTATGATTTTACGCCGCTTTTAGCAATATTCCAGCAATCTCACTGCGAGGGATACCAGAAATGGGCTTCACACATTGTACCCGGAATCGAACCTGGGCGTTCGGCGTGATGAGCGGACGCATTAACCACTAGGCTACCCCACCGCCCCACATCATAACAGAACAGAGACCTTGTCATTCATAACAAATCTTGCCTTTTACGTCAAGGGATGCAAAAGATGCACAGGTTTCAACTGAAACTGATCTGTGAGATATAACAACATATTGCTTACGTATTTTGGTACTTCATGTTCTGAAGTACCAAACATACACACTCGAACTATACGAAACAAATATGCAAAATGTCTACTGTACTGACGGTCTACTGCTTGAAAACTGACAGACAGACAGATATTTTATTTCAATAATGTAGGTCATTGACCCATAATACAAACACAATGCAAATATAAATAATACATACATATTGAATATAAGGTGAAGATTGAGATTCAAGATCAGTTATCTTATAATGGTGGGTTTACTTCTTAGTTTTAATACAGTGGACAGGAATGTGCTTAATGTTTTTATATCATTTGTGTTGTTACTGGTAATTAAACGCACAAAGGTTTTAATTGCTTGAGGGTGGGTCTGGGTTGTGAAACACTTCTTTCTTATTTCAGAATATTTACCACAGATATGTAGGACATGGAGCCCGTCTTCAACATAGTTTAAACCGACAGAGTGGCAGTGAAGGCAGATCACGCCGAAGACCCGGGTTCGAATCCCCACATGGGCACAATGTGTGAAGCCCATTTCTGGTGTCCCCCGCTGTGATGTTGCTGGAATATTGCTAAAAGCGGCGTAAAACCAAACTCAGTCAGTCAGTCAGTGAAGGCAGAGACGTTCATTATACGGTGTATTTGTGTTGCGACCGGTTTCCACTGCAAGTCTAAAGTTGTTACAGTGGAACATAGCTATAACTTTCTGTTGATATGATAGGTCACAGGACAAGTACTGTTCAACATTAAGTATTTAGATTTAAGTAGTGAATAATATTTATTAAAAAAGTGCGTTTGGCTCAAAAGCGGACCGATGAATTGCAATCTAACTGGAAAACTAGTAAACATATAATAATCAATGAAACGCTGATCATAATCAAAACATCATACCCACTCTGTGAGTTTTTTGCAGAATTTATGTCCTAAAATTAAAAAAAGTTGTTTAACAGACTATCATTAAAATATTGACAAAGTTCATTATTTGTTACGAGGGAGGAGTGCAGAGAAAAGGACAGCCAGGTGTTAGAGAAGCACGTGCACAAGTGCCGACAAAGTTATTGATTCATTAACCTGTGCTGTGCCGTCTCCATCCTTTCTCGCACAACTGGCTGTCCCTTTCTCTGCACTCCTCCCTCGTAACAAATAGTGAACTGTGTCAATATTTTAATGATAGTTTGTTAGACAACCTTTTTAATTTTATGACATAAATTCGGTAAAAACCTCACAGAGTTGGTCTGAAGTTTTGATTATGATCAGCGTTTCATGGAGTATTTTATGTTTATTAGTTTTCGAGTTAGATTGCAATTCATCGGTCCGCTTTTGAGCCAAACGGACTACATACATTTACGAGAGTCAAGTGAGAAGCGCCAGTATTGAAGGAAGCAGTCATAAAATCCGTGCTTGAAGCTCAATATAAATTGACAACTAGAGACTGCTAATCACAAAATCGGCTTAGAGAGAAGTTATAAAGGTACAACTGCAATTGAAAAAGTGACACAATATTTCCGTACACGTGGATTTGTTGTTCGGTCTGTTCTTAATGGGAGGATAATAACTAGCAATATAATATTATTTATGTAATAACAATGTTCCCTATAGCAGTGTCTGATATTATGCTCTTTTCTAAAGCAAAACTCTTTAAGTGGGGTAAGTTGAGGGCTGTTTAGCATGCTATAAACACATTTATAACCACGTATATCACATAAGCACAGTTTCAGTAAGAATCGAAACCACGAAGGACAACACTCCATTCTATGATCTTACCTGAACCTTCGGCCCTGGTGATACCCGTGAATATCCGGATTAGAATTGGGAGTCAACAACCCTTGTGGTAAGAGGCGACTAACGGGATCGGGTGGTCAGGCTCGCTGACTTGGTTGAGACGTTCCATCGCATCCGAATTGCGTAGATCGTTGCTCATGATGTTGATCACTGGATTGTCTGGTCCCGACTCTATTATTTACAGACCGCCGCCATATAGCTGGAATATTACTGAGTGCGGTGTAAAACTATTCTCACTCACTCACTCGGCCCTAGTGAATGAAAATACAAATTCAAGGACTAAGAAGCCACTTTTCTATTAACAACAATAGATCCCATAAATGGTAGAATTATTCTTAAAAGAATAATTATTAATCACTTTATAAGACTAAATTAAGTGAACACATACAAAACAAGTATTAGTATTGCGCTATTCACATAGGGCTAAAGTCGCAAACACAAAGATGTTAAAATAACAACATTCAGTTTACAGCTTATGCATGAAACATGGACATGAATGCATTTTACCGGATACATTTAGTTATGTTAGTAAGGGACGTGTACGAATTCCATCTTAAGACAATATTGTAACCACCTGGTTAAAAAATCAGAAGGCTTGCTTTCGATGTTGATAAATTGCCTTGAAATTGCATTTTATGATTTTATTAGATCAAAACATACTAATGCAAGCATTTTTATGTTGCATTTTATGGTTCTAGATAGTGCACCCGTATTGACTGCTTCGAACAAACACTGTGAATAGGTATCCGGTTAAGTGCATATGTGACGTGTTTCAATTGTTGTTCATATATTTAAACGTAATACTGATAAACGAGACGGTTGCGAAGAAAGTACCTGAACCTGAAAGGTACTAAAATGTTAAGAAATATTAATCGAATTTGATCGTTAACGTGCTTTCCGCGGTGGCGGAACAAAACAGAACTTACATAGCATAAGACTAGATAGCTATCGGAGATCAATAAATAGACTTTTGTATGCAGATGACACACTACACAAGTACTTCAACTTATTGAGTGTTTTACAGCAACTCGTGAATGTCTCTTTAATGTTGCATTTAAGTAAATTCATCATTTGGAATATAAACATAAGGCCTTGGTAATCGACTACAATGTCATTGGATTTTTACGGGGAATCATTACCATATGTGATATTTTGGGGTAACAATGTAAGTACGGATTCCAGGACTCCCATGTGGGATTCGAGTCAGGCACCAATCGCCAGCGCACAAAGTCGGCGCACTAACCCACTCATCCAACGCGGATATAATTTGTTTTTTTCTAAGGTATGATAAGTCAGAATATGGTGATTACCTATCTGGACGAGATTATTTAAAATTCAATAGAGTCACTTATTTTCTGGTTTATATTTGAAGAACTTTGTACACGAGATAACCGAGTGTTGCGGGTTTTCCATTGAAACACCCAGTGTTTCAAAACGTCAGCTGGCAAGAACCTTCAACTGAAGCCAGGCCACTATCAGCAAATTGATAAACTGCTACCAGCAAACAGGCCAGACCCAACACCGCCCAAGATCGGGAAGACCAAGAGTCACGACACCCACCAGAAGATCGGTACATCCGGCAGATCCACCTCATGACAGATTCGTGACGGCGACCACAACAACGGCGGCGACAGCACTAGGACATGCCATCAGCAGTCGAACAAACCTCCCAGGACTTGGTATGGCTGGTATACGAGCCTACCGCCCTATCCGTGGAATGGCCTTGACCCGTCTACACAGTCACCGCAGACTGCAATGGACACGAACTGTACGTCGGTGGCAGCGACGTGACTGGGAGATAGTGCTTTTTATAGATGAAAGTCAGTATAGTCTGTTCAGAAACAATGGCACAGTTCGAGTTTTTGTATGTAGAGGAGAGCGACTGGCGCCAAACTGCGTTCAAGAAGTTCATCCGTTCGATAGAGGAAGCGTCATGGTATGGGTGCGGCATTTGTGGCCAGAAAACAACAAGACTGGCTATCATCCAGTGAAATCGGAATGCCAAGCGATACAGGGATGAAGTGTTGAGACCTTTCGTGGTACCATTTATTCGGCAACAGCTTACAGGAGTCATTGTGCAGCACGACAACGCCATAATTGTTCGAGAAAACCTGCACAACGTTAACGTCAACGTATTGCCTTGGTAGGCGCGTTCTCCAGAAATGAACATCTCTGGGATCGTCTTGATCGTCAGCTGAGACAGCGTGTACCACCTCCAGCGAACCGACAGGAACTTGAACAGATTCACTTGGACTTATGAAGCAGGATTTCTGCTGACGTCATCCGCCGACTGACGACGCCATCGAGGAGACGTGTGTTGGCGTGCCCAGGGTGACAACACTCGCTATTGATGACGTGTCCCCTGACTCCTGTCTCATTATGTGATTCTTATGCACTTTTGGAATAAACTCTGATTTGTGTATTTTTTATTTTGACCTTATGACTCTTTCTTATTGAATTCAGGCAAATGCAATACCAGCATTACAATGAATTTTCAGTCAAATTATTGGAAAATAATTTCTGTTTATAAAATAATTATCATAAATACCACATACGTCTTTGTTCCTATTCTTAGGACAAGTGAAGTCGACGAAACTTTCTTTTGCCCGGCAGACTATTTCAGAGAAATATCCTGCATCAAGTATGTATGTTGAATAAATTAAGATACTTACATTAATTTTGTCAAACGAACTCTTAATACATTCATAATGATTCATTCAACTGATTTGTTAGTTGTTAACTGTTTAACTGCATATACTATTTCTTGCTCTGTAATTGGACGATCAAGACAATCACGAGCTTTATCAAAACTATACCGCTTTTTTCTGTTTAATCACTGTCTGCATTATAGTAATTATTTATGTCTTAAAAATAATCAAACAGTTTGTCTCTCACCACCGTTATCCTGTATCAGTATTTTCCAAAACGACTTGTTATTATTCAAATGCTAAACACCGAATTTCTTCTGTATCTATATGTTAAAATCAACATTTTATTTGAGTAAATCTGAGTGTTGTACTCTGCATAGTAAGGCCATGTGACCTGAACACGAGGCTCAAAAGGGCCTGTTGGAACGTCTAAGTAATTGTGTTTACTACAATATTTGGACATGACCTTCTCTTCGACAAATGATGGGTGGCATCCCCGGTGGATAGTCCAGTGTATAATCGAAACTTGGTATTACTGCCCACAAAGCTGCATATATATCTTCGCAGGAATTACATTACGACCGCGTAGACGGTTTTCATATAAACGCTTTACTTTATGCGTTCTGGAGTTCTTGGCATGCACGCTTTGACTCACTGCATTTCCATACAAGGACCACTCACTCAGCCCCTGCCATCCCATTCGCTTAGCCCTCCACCCTCAACGCCACACGTTCACTCAGATTTAAACGTGCTGGTTTAAGAGATAACCCAAGTTGTTCTTGTGGAAATGTTTGTGAAAATTCTTATTATTACCTATTTGACTGTCAATTATATACAGTACAGAGAACTACCATGATGACTAATTTACGCAGTACAAATGTGGATATAACCTATGAGTTATTATTACATGGCAATGCAGATCTGACTGTTAACATAAATCAAAACATATTTAAAATTGTCCAAACATATATTTGTCATTTAAAACGATTTTCCAAATTGTTGCAATTGTTCCTCTTTTTCCCATATTTCTGTTCTGTTCTTCTCTGTCCATCTTGTAGAATGAATGTAAATAATAATATGTAAATACTACGGAGAGGGTGTTCTAAGTTGTATAACTTATACCCAATCCTTTTTTCATGAATAAAATATGTTTAAAACAAACAACGATTTTAAATAATTTCAACGATCCCCCTCAAGGCGATAACACCATGTTACTTAGATCTTTTAAATTATCTGCTGGATTGTGCAAATCCATTCAGGTGAATTCGAAAGACAAAACCAATAATATGACCTTTTACTTCGAATATTTCTTTAGCAATCGAAACCAAGATGGTTTAACGGTTACTCGAAGTTGATTGGTAGAGAATATTTTAAGAACAATTACGAATGGCTTCATCGAAGATGGTAGAGTCCAAAGTGAATGGTCGTGGGACTTCATACCAAGCCGTGCTGCTTAGAATGCACCTCTGAATTCCCGACGCGAATTCTGCTGTAACACACAGGAAATCGGTTTCTGCAAGGCACAAAGACAAACATGCTTCTATCGTTGTGACGTTGTTTATGATCCTGTTGTTGTATCCATCAAGGTTTTTATTTTTGAATATCGTGAATCCTGTACCATATGCAGGACAACCTGAAATAAAATAATTAAGTCGATTTTGATTAAACGTTTTGTGTGAATTGAACTGACACTGTAAAGAACTTGGCAAGCGGTATGGCTAAAAGTATTGAGTCGATTTTGAATGAATCTAGAATCGTATGAAGAGTAATCTGAAATAAAATTAGTAAGTCGATTTTGAATGAATCCAGAACCATATAAAGAACAACCTGAAATAATGTTTTTAAGTCGATCTTGAATGAACCTCGAACCATACATTGAGCAACCTGAAATAACATTATTAAGTCGATTTTGAATGAAAGCGTTGCGTAAATCTCACTGACATAGCAAAGACAGATAAAACATAGGTTAAATGCATTTCAAGTACTTGGTTACTGATATTGTGGTTAAACGAATTTCGAAACATCTTTATATTCCTACCGAATGCACAGTTTATAAGGGAAACGGAATAGTGGCAGTATTTTGTGACATAAGTAAAACCTCAAATGAAGTCAGGCACAATGGTTTCATACACAAACTTAAATCAATGTGGTGTTTGGGGTCAGCTTCTTAAAACGGATTGAAAGTTATTTAGAAAATAGATTTCAAAGGGTGGTTATTCATGCTTACAGTTCTGACACAAGGCCAGTCGTGGCTGGAGTAAAGCAAGGATCTGCCGAAGGCCCGCTGTTGTTTATTGTTTATATCAACGATATATTTGGAAGCATAGAGAGTACCATTAGCTTATCTGCAGATGATCCATCACTAAAGGAAGTTGGTGAAACTCCTGTCACCGCTGTGAGTGCTCGAAATAAGTGAGTGAGTGAGTTTAATTTTACGCCGCCAATATTTCAGCAATATCACGGCTTCACACACTGTACCCACGTGGGAAGTAAAACCCGGGTCTTCGACGTGACGAGCGACGTTTTGACCACTACCCTACCACCCCTCTAAATAACCAACTGAGTATAATATCGACCTGTGCCGAAAGTAGAAAGATAATTTTAATCTTTGCAAAACAGAATCATTTGACTTTGATACGACAACACGCATAACAAATCCCATAGAAAACTAGATCTCAAAATGAATAATGGTTAAGTTAACGACGTCCAGTCGCACAAACATCTTGGCCTTGTACATCAGAGTGATTAGACTCGTGGAATGAACAGCTTAAAGAAAACGTGAAGTCCAGTGACAAGCTGCCTTAGAAGTCTTAAAAATTGATTTTTAGGAAAACAATGGAAACTATGTATATATATTTTATGTTTCCTGTTTAATTCTGTCATATTTGTGACAACTGCTCAAAGGGTTGTCACAATTGCTTGCAAATCTTAATCTAGATACACTAAGAACCATATGTTGGTATCAGTAAAAATAATGCAAGTTATACAAAGAAAAACTTTCAGGCCACTAAATGGTAACAGATATATTCTCAAATTGACAACATTTGCTAAATTGATAAATAATCTTGTCCTTGGCTATATTGGCGATCTTGTACCACCTATCGAGTCAGAAGCTAACAGTTATAACAACAGACTGACTGACTGACTGAGTTTGGTTTTACGCCACTTTTAGCAATATTCCAGCAATATCACGGCGGGGACACCAGAAATGGGCTTCACACATTGTACCCATGTGGGGATTCGAACCCGGGTCTTCGGCGTGACGAGCCAACGCTTTAACCACTAGGCTACCCCACCGCCCCTATAACATCAGAAGAAGTAAGAAGTTGAAAACTATCAAGTGTAAAACAACGAATCTTTTCTAAATCTTTTCTTGCAGACACAGCCAAACTTTGGAATTCATTCTCGATGCAAGTACAGTAGGATATACTTTGGAGATTATAAATAAAATGATAAACATAATGTAAATACTGTCTCTTTTTTTATCTAAACTTCGGTTCTAAATTCTGTCAGATTTCACTCCTGTCTAAGACTTGGCAGTGATCTTGATTTGAAAGATCTTTTTTTGATAATCCTGTTTGCTCTTGTGGCTACCATAACGAAGACTCTCTTCATTTCGTCTTACATGTGGAACTTTTATCGATATGATAAGTAAGTAATATGTACGTAAGTAAATAATAAACTCTTGAAATTTAAGATCCATGAATGTATTGGTATGGCAACCACCACTATGACCTAAACGGCATCGATTCTGGGATTTTGACTGATATAAAATGCAATTCGAAATAAAGTTAGGTTTCATGTTTCAGTGCTGTTATTACTCAAACCGTAACCTACCTTGAACACAGCTGCCATGGGAGTACACGTGCATGATGTCACACACACACAATCCCTCATTACAAGTAGTCTTGGCAACAGTGCAATCTGTAGAGGTGACACAAGAACCGAAATGGTTGACTGAAACGAACAAGAAGTGCCTGGTCTTACTTGAATTGTAGAAGTGTCCCGTAATCAACATCACATCTTTGAATCTTTGAATGGATAGATTCATTGAACACTGGGGAATAAAAGTACTATCAGGGTCAAAATGGCTTATGTACATATCTGTTCGCTGTTAACAAACGTGTGTTTGCATCTCAATATTTCTGAGTAGACGTACATAAACGTTCCGGTTTCCTTTTTCAAATTGACCACATCTATTAAGAACTGAGAAAACTACACATTTATATATTTTTTGTTTCAAGCTATCAAGGGGGATAATCATACAAAGCCTGTCAAAAATACACACAATTCAACATTCAGGTTTTGTCTAAATCTAAATTCCCTAACCTAAAGTGGATGTTTTCATTTTCCATATAATATACTCTACTTGCCTCACACATATACACCAGTACTGCAGGTATTTGACAAAGCATCACGTGTGTGTTTTCAGAAATGTCAGTAGTTCAGACGAGGATTTGCTTGTAAATGTACAGCTCTTTAATATGGATGCTTATGAAGCTTAGGAACCAAGGAGAAAGTTGGACTGATTTTTGTTTCTAAATTGTTGATTAACTTTAAGGAATATGCAAATATTATTTTTGTGTGCAAAAATCCTTGAATATTTCAGAGACATCCCTGAAGTAATGACACAAGTCATGTGACATAACAATCTTAGTCGTGATTACACAATGACATTTAGAAAGTGGTCAAATGTAACATATGTTATATTTGGGATTACACTTTCTTAGTAAATTACAAATTCTTGTACTTCTTGGGTTGAGTCCCATCCGGGATTCGAACCCACACCTTCAGAGTCAGGCACCTATTCGCTCTGAAGGCTACGAATTGTTGCAACTGTTAAACCCATGACGTGTTCTGCTGCTACATTTGTGTTGAATTCCAAAATTGTGTACTTATCGGAGACAATGTATTGTGAAGAATGTTTTTCACATGTATCATTGTCCGAGTAATGGAATTGTACATGGTGGGAATTTGTTTTGATGAACCATGCTGAATATCGTGTTGTTTTGTCTTGCGGAACCAGACTAACATTGGTTTGTCTGTTTGTCTGTTTAACGATATTATATGTTCCAGCTATATGGCGGCGGTCTGTTAATCATAGTCTGGACCAGACAATCCAGTGATCAACATCATATGCATCGATCTACGAAATTGGGATACGATGATATTAGTCAAACAAGTTAGCGAGCTTGACCACCTGATCCCGTTAGTCGCCTCTTACAAGCATGGGTTGCTGAAGACCAATTCTAACCCGGGTACGCAAATATTAGATATTGAAACTGTATACGACTTAATATTTTCGTATTATTATAAAATAATGATGAAATCGTTGTGTATAAAAAAGATTTAACAGGAAAATGGATGGTCCTATCTGAGATGAAAATTACACCTTAGATTGTGTAATTTAACTATGTTGTAATAATTTTTATATACAAATATTACTATTATTCCATATACAAGCATGAAGACTTATATATGAGTATATGAAATAATATTGATAAAATGTGACAGGTTTTTGCAAATCAGACAAGTGAGCAAGAATACAGCACCCATCCTGATTTCAGCCTACAAACACCGATCTGTGCATGTCGGTCTGCTGACGCATTCAATTCAATTAGCCTTATCATGTAATGTAGTGAATTACTACAAATGTCTCACTATTTTGCTTGATGTCATGGGTTGTTGGGTGCCTTTTGCGACGTCAGGACTAATGTTAGTCCCCATTTTGAAAAAAATGTACTCAGAAGAATATTTTTAAAAAAAGTAAAAAAATTGTTTAAATAATGGACATATAATTGTCCATAATAATGTGGTTTAATCTATTCTCCTCTAGGATGCCAAATGCAATGCATGAAAAGCTAATATTTAAGGGATTATGAGGATAATCGTACTTACTGGGTAGATTGCACGGTTATTATTTATGAATGCACTTTTTGAAAAAAATATAAAGTAAAGCCAGAATCAGATGTTATTAACTTAATTATCTAACAAAAGGCGAAACAAATTACTTAGTCTCTCATATAGAACCTGAAATAAACAGACCCAGTATACCAAATTGCAAGTCTGGAATATGTGGCTGGATTATCACAGTTTCAGAAAAATGAAGAAAGTTTGCAGGCTCATTTTTACCATATTTTGTGAGTAAACGTTGAGAACCGTTTTTTGTCTGTGAAGCATGTTCATGTCAGAGACTAGATGTTAGTCTTCAATGTTACCCAAAACAAGGGGAGTAATTCGTAAATTGTCATTCAAACGAACAAAATTGATTTTCAAAACACCATGACAGTTCCTTGTAAATGTGTCTATTTGTATTTAGTGAAAATATGATGAATTAATGTTAAGATAGTATATTCACTTTTAGTAATAAAACTGAATATGAAATTTCAGTATTTTTGTGAAAAGATACACTCAAATTGTACGTCATGTTTGTACATGTTGGTAAAGGATCTACACTTCCATTCACTAGTCCTTCGCCTGCAAGAAATAATAAAATATGTACCAAACTGTTGCGTTGACATGCCCAAGACTGACCGTGTGTTGGCTTGCAGCAGTATACGGGATTTAAACCAAAGATTGAAAAAAACCTACTCAAAGGATCTTCGAAATGAATAACTAAGTTGTGTGAAGGAAAATGCAAACCTTACTCAAATTGTACATTATGTTTGTACCTGTTGGCAGCGGGACAGGATGACCGTGTGCACTGTCATTCACCAGCTGCTGGCCTGAAAGAAATACTATAAAATGTACAAAAACCGTTTAATTACGTTGATATTTCTGAGAGTGACCAACCTTTAACGTGTGTTCGCTTGCAGTAGTATGCGGTAATCCAGTCCAGTGGTTTAAAAAACCTACTCAAAGGATTTTCGAAATGAATAACTTAGTTATGGACTTATGGGGATAATCGTATAAGGCACCCACCAATGCCGTTATTATTTATGCATAAACAAATAAAGTAAATGAAGAACTAAACTTATCTCATCCTGTGATCAAATTGTCTTAAAAAGGCGGAGTAAAAGAGGAGTAATTTGTAAATTGTGTATGGTATATTTTCCAACACAAAGACAGTTCGATTCTTTGTAAATGTGTGCATATATATACTGTAAGCCATTAAAAACGCAATTGGTATTTGTTGTCCTGAAACTTACAAAAGTTCTATTGAAGATTTTTTCCTGCTGTACAGAGGATGTAGGGATAAAAGGCTGTTATTCTGGCCGATTTCGAGTTACTTACCGAGTCCCGGAGCATTCCTCTCACATGACCTTTGATACTTAAAACTGAACCTTTGACATTTCTCGTAAACACAACCACATTCATGAAACATGTTGTGCACATGCATTATTACCTGCACCCAGGCCCTGTAAAAGCACACGGAATTGTGGAACTCAATCACTTTGAGAAAATGCCACACTTGACACAAGACGAAAGGAATCAGGTTATCGGTATGGTCAGCCAAGGTGCTTCAGATGTGATGATTGCCAGGCACTTTAATGTGCACCCATCCACTGTAAGTCGACTCAGACAACGTTTTCGGGCTACCGGAAGTGTTGCTGATCGTCCGCGACTTCGTGCACCACCTGTGATAACAGCTCGACAAAACCGCAATATCCGAGTTTCACACTTGCGAAATCGGTTCCAAACAGCTGATGATTAGTCAAGGAGGACAATTGGGACAAGTCAACGTCATTTTAGCGCCCAAAAGGTGCAAGGACGCCTTGCTGCCTTCAACATCCGGTGTCGTCACCCGTACTGTGGTCCAACCTTTTGCATCGCCACAGACTTGCCAGACAGCGATGGGCAGCAAATGGGGCCAATCTTGGCAACAGGACATGGCCAGATGTCATTTTTTCAGATGAATCCAAGTTTAACTTATCCTTTGCAGATGGACGTCAACAGATTTATCGACGTAAAGGAGAAAGACTTGCGCCAAACTGTGTCCTTGAACATGATCGTTTTGGAGGGGGGTGGTGTCATGATCAGACCACAGACCATCAGAGGCTGCAGACCATCCAACAGCTGTTCCTGAGAAATGTGTGTCTTTCAATGCCCCAAAGACTGCGAGCATGTCTTGCAGCGCACGGTGAACACACACGATATTGACTGCAAGTGACCCCTTCTTTGTTTGATGTCATTGTTGCGTCACTGATGTTGTTGTTGACTGGACATTTTCAGATGAAATTATTCCCAGATGTTCACTTAAAACATATCTGCCAGTTAGGTTTATATATGTCGAAATTAGTGTGAGTAAAGAAAGTATGAATGTCAAGTTGCATTTTTAATGGCTTACAGTATATATTTTAAAATATTGTTGAATATTACATTTTCGGCTTTAGATCTACGTTTGACATGAGATTGAACATGGATACATATCCATACTATGTAACTCATTGTGTGAAGGAAAATGCAAACCTTACGCAAATTGTACATTATGTTTGTACCTGTTGGCAGCGGGACAGGATGATTCACCAGCTGCTGGCCTGAAAGAAATACTATAAAATGTACAAAAACCATTTAATTACGTTGATATTTCTGAGAGTGACCAACCTTTAACGTGTGTTCGCTTGCAGCATTATGCAGTAATCCAGTCCAGTGGTTTAAAAAAACCTACTCAAAGGAATCTTTCGAAATGAATAACTTAGTTATGGACTTATGGGGATAATCGTATAAGGTACCCACCAATGCGGTTATTATTTATGCATGCAATCTTAAGCAAATAACGTAAATGAAGAACTAAACTTATATCATCCTGTGATCAAATTGTCTTAAAAAGGCGGACTAAGAGAGGAGTAATTTGTAAATTGTGTATGGTATATTTTCCAACTCAAAAACAGTTCGATTCTTTGTAAATGTGTGCAGATATATATTTCAAAATATTGTTGAATATTACATGAGATTGAACATGGATACATATCAGACAGACAGACAGACAGACAGGTTTTATTCAGTAATGTAGGCACAGTGGCCCATAGTACAGTTGAATTTTCATTTTAACAAATATTGGTCACGTGACACGAAATTATGGTTTTACATGTGATTTAAGGATGGACATCAAATGTTTTATGAAAATGGCAGCTGATTTAATAGTGTCATCGTTATTAGAATTAAGTATTTTATATATCGTTTGTGGGGCATCATTAAAGCATTTTAGATACTTCTTTCGGCCAGCAGAGAATGCCTCACAGTCTAATAATAAGTGACGTTCGTCTTCAGTTTTACCAGAAGAACAATGAGAACATGATAAATCTTCCAATGTATTTTTATCTTTTCTATAACGCTGTATTTTTAAGGCATGTAGAGAGATTCTAAATTTACAAAAATTTCTTAAAAGGGACTTATCATTAAGGACCCTAATATATTTTTCAGGTCCGAACATCGATTTACATTGTGAATAATGACTTAGAAAACTCGATGAATTTACTGATGCGTGCCAATTCTGAATATATATATCTTTTATTCGTTGCTTAAAAGTTAACAAAAAACATTTTTATATCACCAACATCTTGCTTAAACCAAACATAAGAAAACCCGCTTGAAAATAACACATTTCGGACACCAGAAGCCCAAGAATACTTTCAGTATATATTTTAAAATATTGTGGAATATTACATTTTCGGCTTTAGATCTACGTTTGACATGAGATTGAACATGGATACATATCCATACTATGTAACTCATTGTGTGAACGAAAATGCAAACCTTACTCAAATTGTACATTATGTTTGTACCTGTTGGCAGCAGGACAGGATGACCGTGTGCACTGTCATTCACCAGCTGCTGGCCTGAAAGAAATACTATAAAATGTACAAAAAACCGTTTAATTACGTTGATATTTCTGAGAGTGACCAACCTTTAACGTGTGTTCGCTTGCAGTAGTATGCGGTAATCCAGTCCAGTGTTTGAAACACCTACTCAAAGGAATCTTTCGAAAACCACTACTTATACTTTTATGATGTGCATAATTTTACGCCGCTTTAAGCAATGTTCCAGCAATATACAGTATACAATCACATGTAATGTTGATTAATAGATTATATTGTTTTAGTGGGTGGGTGAATGAGTGAGTGTGTTGTCACCTTAAGCCCCTTTTAGCAATATTCCAGCAGTATCATGGCGGGGGACACCAGAAATGGGCTTCACATATTGTACCCATGTAGGGAATCGAACGAGTCTTCAGCGTGACGAGCGGGTGCTTTAACCATTAGGCTACCCCACCGCCCCTACTTATTTATGCAATTATGAAGATAATCGTATAAGGTTCCACCAACTCGGTACTTGGCACGGATGTTAATATACTTCCCATCAAAAGTTTTACACTCGCCTAAAACACCCACTATATGTTATGTGTGTGTGTGTGTGTGTGTGTGTGTGTGTGTGTGTGTGTGTGTATATATGGTTACATCGCAGATTAATTTATCCACTTACTTGGGGGGAACCAACTGCAAACCTTATGCAGATGAATTGCACGAGGATCATGCATCAAATTGCTGAAAAGCATGTGCAAATATCGCGAATGTGATCAGCTGCGTTTTGGTGTAAAGTTTTGTTGAGAATTCGCCAATTTTCACTGATTTTTATCATTTATTAAACTCATGACAATAATCTTTTCAACATTAAGAATTGTGTTTTGCAATACATCAGTTCATGTGTAAAAAGTACCTTTAAACAGTGTAGAATATTTTGCAAAATTTAGTTTAGAACAATTGCCTGAAGTAAGTGGCTTTATTTACACTAGTGAGTCTAAAGTGTTGATGGGAGGTATATAAAGAAAGAAACAAACGTATGTCATCCTGTGGTCAAAATATTTTTAAAAGTCAGAATGAATATATTGATTACTATGTCATATAAAACAAGAGGAGTAATTCATAAAAGCTTTAAGTTACCGAACTCAGCAATATTCCAGTTACATGTATATGACGGCAGTCTGTAAATGACCGGACATCATAAGCATCGATCTACGCAATTGGGATACGTTGATATGTATCAACTAAGTTAGCCAACCTGACCCCTCGATCCCATTAGTCGGCTCTCACGAAAGCATGGGTTGTCGAAGACCAATTCTAACCCGTATCTTCACGGATCTCGCTGACTTGGTTGACACATGTCTTCGTATCCCAATTGCGTAGATCGCTGCTGATGCTGTTAATTGTCTTGTCCAGACTCAACAATAAAACCCAAAAAACAAACAGAACCGAGGATAATATGTATATATTTACAAGTGCTAGAATTGGGTGTGTTTTTGTTACCTGATGCACATGTTGAATACATGTTGAATCCGGATTCACCAACATACGTTGTGTCCTCTGGTGTTGTGAGAGGGTCGGTGTAGGCCACGCATTCTCCGCTGCTGTCCTTGTAGCCAAAGGACCTGATGCTGTGAAAGTGGCTGCAGAGCGCAGCACATTCTGCACGGTTGGTCATCGTCTTTGTCCATTTAACACCAACGCTGACCCTCTTGTTCTGGAATAGAGGTAGTGGCTCTACCTGACATTCACCACAGACAGTACTTCTGACAAGATCAAAACCACAGCAAGTTATCAACAAAAGAAGTGGAATTTCTCTTCTGGTCATGACTGTTAACCAGCGTCTTACATCACAGACAACTATCTGCAATAACAACCGGAGTGGGCTTCTGGTGCAACCAGGAGCTATGCATCGACTGTATATTTTTAACATTTGTGTTTTTAAAGATACGGGAAGCTGGGCTGTTCTTGTTGGTTGATTACATGATGCATATAACCTTTTCAAACTGTCACAACATATATTCCATTTACTGCACCATTTGTTGATTGATTAATATTGGCAAGAAATATCGACCACCATTTCAATTTTGAAAATCGCTGTATTATTGGACAAAATGCATATTTACATACTCCTTAAAGGTCTTCAACAATCCATTTAAATTTTCTACTGGATAGCTAAACTTCATAAGTATCCATAGTAAAGAGATATACATTTAACAGCAAATCCTTGTCTGAACTACTGACAACATTTCTTCGAAAACACAACAGTTCTGGAATGTTGAATTTGAACCATAGCTCTTAAGATAACCGGGGACGAAACGCTGCATCTGTCTGTGGTTGAAGGAAGGTTTTATATCACTGCCCCGTCCCTGCCCAGATACTGTTGATGTAGATGTCGGGTCCAGACACACAAAAGACACACCACCACCACCACCACCATCATCATCATCATCATCATCATCATCATCATCATCATCATCATCATCATCATCATCATCATCATCAATTTTGTTACGCATGAAGACCACAGGCCATATCAATATTCGAAACAGTAATGAAGGCGTTAACGATAAAAGGAAACAATTGATCTAAATGCATATCATTTACCTGTCTCCTTGTTTCACAATACAATAAACAACAAAACATAATCTGATGATGTATGTTCCTTATAATTAGCAGGAATCGACTAATAATGATCTTGATCAATCTTTCTTTGAAGAATTTAAATTAAAAAAATATAAGACAAAATGAAATTTTCAAAACCTAGTTCTCTATTCCTTGAATGCAAATGAACGATGTCCAGAAAGGAAAATAAATTGTTGCCGAATGTGTAACTTGTTGTAGTTGCATTAAATTGTTTTGCAGAGAATCAGTAAAAGTTCAAAACAATCTCTTTTATCACAATAAAACCCGGGTCTTTGTGAGATGTTTCAACACACTCATCATTGAGAAATATAGTATGTTATCAGCTTTTGATATATTTGTTTGGTTGGTGGCACAATTCACTTTGGCCCTGATAATCACTGCTCTCACCATATTGGCCCTGATTATCACTGCTATCACCATATTGGCCCTGATAATCACTACTATCACCATATTGGCCCTGATAATCACTGGTATCACCATATTGGCCCTGATAATCACTGCTCTCACCATATTGGCCCTGATAATCACTGCCCTCACCATATTGGCCCTGATAATCACTGCTCTCACCATATTGGCCCTGATAATCACTGCTATCACCATATTAGTGACCGCATGTTTCTTTTCTCTTTCTTCTCAAAAGTCGACATTATAAGTTGTTCACTGGTCCCTCGGGGGACATGGGTTGATGTACCCACAGGTATAAATCTGTTTGTAGCCATCTCTAGATTTTGCTGACAAGAAAAACAGATTTAGAGTTATCTCCCTTCCATCGATTTGCATTCGCAAAACATCGGTAATTTCCGTACATCATACGTGATTCAATGTAATTCGAGATAAAGAATTACTACCACGAAGTACCAAATGAGTTGCCATTGACAGCGGGGTACATTGAAATGTTACTCGCTTGTAAGCGGGGTGCATTGAAAATAATAGAAGAGCGCTCAGTCAATCAGAAAGCGGCATTTATGTGTGAGGTAAGATCAATTGGGATATAACTGAAATACTGAGTACACAAACTCACAAACGACGCCTGGGTCGACTGACTATGGCAAAATCCATGCAGACTCATGGAAATTCGACGATGGGATATACACTCGCGGATTGAAGGGACACGAAACTGAGCATTCTCCTGCTCTAGGAAGGTGGCCCTGTAGTATATATGAGAACAAAATTGTAATGTGCAAACCAGTTTTATTGATATGAACAGAGATGACAAATACGGTTTTCATTTAGCTAAGCACTAACACATCATACAACCAAAGCCTTAAGTTGGTGACACACAGCAAAGGCAAAACATTTGTTCATTGTATTTAAATGCTACGTTTCAGTATCAGTCCGCATACCGTTGTCACACAACACATAGCTCGCTTAGTTTAATCGGTTATCATTTTTGAAATACCAAACACACAACATTTAAATACAAAGTGTATACTGCACTCACTGTCCACTATAGAGGACGCTCACCAATATATCATGGCTCGTCAGCGGTTTGTAGAGATGCTATTCAAATAAGGTTAAAATTACAATTTAAAACGTTTAATTAGTTATCATTTTCTGAAATACCAAACACACAACATTTAAATACAAAGTGTATACTGCACTCACTGTCCACTAGAGGACGCTCACCAATATATCATGGCTCGTCATCGGTTTGTAGAGATGATATTCAAATAAGGTTAAAATTACAATTTAAAAAGTGACAAAAGGTTTACTTGATCATACGAAAATATGCTAAGCCTGCTCATTCGGTAAAATCAGATTTCGAATGAATCTGGTATCATTTAATCGGTATGGCAACAATCACTCGTGTAAAATATCAAAAGATTATGTGTGTGTGGATCTGATACATAGCAATATCCTTGACAGGCTTAAATTGAGGGCAGATTTGCATGCTTTGAAAAACATTTATAAACTACATATTTTACGTACAGTTTCAGCAAGATCTCTGACTCTAAAAGACAAAGGACAACACACTTCTGTCCTGGTGAAAGAAAAGACAAATTCAAGGACTAAGAAACTACTTTTCTATTAAATAACATATATACGTCCGTAAATGGAAGAATGAACAAAATGCATTATGCAACATTATGTTTGTTAAAACAATGTTTACTTCATTGCTAAGACTTTATAAATAATATACAAAAATGCTGCAAATTAGTCTGCTGACGTGATAGTTTGGTCCCACGAACTGTATCGGGGTCCTTAATGTCGCTGCACATTAGAAACTGAAGGAAAGGAGTATATACCAGCGTGTGTCTCGACTTGCTAAAAAAGCAGAAATTTTGAAAATCTGTATGTTTTCTTTAAAGTTTAGTTAAACTTAATACGTGGTTAACTATTCACTTTTTTATCAATTTATTTCTTTTTGATGGGTACATAATTGTTGCATTTGTGGTACATATAAATACACAAAGTATGGACACAAGTGTTAGATACTCCGTAGGCTAGAAGAAAACATTGTGATTATAATTTATGTGAAGAGGTTATGGCAAGATGACCCAAAAGGTGCAGAATTTACCATAGTTACAGTGCGAAAAGGTAGTACATTAGTCAATTTCATACAGGGTGTGTAAGTAATTTTTTAATCCAACAAACTGCGGATGCGAATTAGAAATTCTCTTTGCATATATATAGTATTTTGTTGCGATGATAATCAGGTTTAATACATCATTTCGTTTTTCTTTATATCCAGAAATGATATGTTTTGCATCCAGTATTAATCTTATGCCTGTTCCTATGGGTATTATTCACTCTTCATATGGTTAAGAGAGTGAGTCGTTTTCCGATATGCAGCTGTAATAAATATGATCTCTAGCATCAGTTAATAGGTGTACTGAAGGCGGTCAAAGCCACCTTCACCTATGTCCAGTTGGACAGTTGCATTAATCATCTTCATGTTAAAGATATATCTTAGTAGAAGTTAAATGATCTGAATTCGAATCAGCGAACAAACGTAATGATTATAATAGTTCAGAGAACAATTATAAGTGAAACATATAATTATTTGTGTCTGTTTAAACATATTTCCATAGCGGCTAAACATTCTGTATTCAGGCAGGTTTTTAGATGTGTTCATGAACACTGAAATACAATAGCAAAAAGCCAATTTTGCTTTCAGCTAAGGTAAGCCAAAAACATCTAGTAACACAAATGAGTTCAAATGACAACATTAAGATTAAAAATTAGATAAAAAAAGTAATGCAAAATACAGAGTAATTGAATTGCTTTCCGATCCCGACACTTTAGTGTATTAATCATACCTGTGAAATCCGAGTTCGTTGTGCTCCTAAGGGAGTCTCCACTTCGTTCACTACAATGTGACCTGAAGAAAGAGGCTCAAAAGAGCCTGTTGGAAAGTCTAACTAATTGTGTTCACTATAATATTTGGACATGACCTTCTCTTCGACAAAAGATGGGTGGCATTCCCGGTGGATAGTCCAGTGTTATATCGAAACTTTTGTAACCGACGTCAAAGCTGTTTTTTATTATATTTTCCCATGAATTTCTTGACGACCGCGTTGACAGTTTTTGAAGTTTAACGCTTTACTTCATGCGTTCTGGGTTGTGTTAGCAAGGCCGCATTTACGCACTCCATTTCCCATATACTCAGCTCCTCCTACCTGAACACCACTCATTCACTCAGCCCCCCTCCACTCAGTACCCCCTCCACCTGAACACCACTCATTCACTCAGTACCCCTCCAGTCATACCCCTCCACTCAGTACCCCCTCCACCTGAACACCACTCATTCAGTCAGCCCCTCCCACCTGAACACCACTCATTCAGTCAGCCCCTCCCACCTGAACATCTCTCATTCACTCAGCCCCTCCCACCTAAACATCTCTCATTCACTCAGCCCCTCCTACCTGAACACCTCCCATTCACTCAGTACCTCCCACCTGAACACCACTCAACACCACTGAACACCACTCCTCCTACCAAACCCTCCCACCTGAACACCACTCATTCACTCAGCCCCTCCAACCCGAGTACCACTCATTCACTCAACACCTCCTACCTGAACATCACTCATTCATTCAGCTCCTCCCACCTGAACACCACAAATTCACTCAGCCCCTCCCACCCAAACACCACTCATTCACTCAGCCCCTCCCACCTGAACACGTCTCATTCACTCAGCCCCTCCCACCTAAACACCACTCATTCACTCAGCCCCATCTACCTGAACTCCACTCATTCACTCAGCCTCTCACAACTGAACATCACTCATTCACTCAGCCCCTCCCACCTAAACACCACTCATTCACTCAGCCCCATCTACCTGAACTCCACTCATTCACTCAGCCTCTCACAACTGAACATCACTCATTCACTCAGCCCCTCCCACCTAAACACCACTCATTCACTCAGCCAATCCCACCTCAACACCAATCATTCATTCAGACCCTGCCAAATGGACACCACCCATTCACTCAGACAATCGCGAATGGACACCACTTTTTAACACGAATAACAGTCATATGACCTTATATATACTTATTTCTTCAGCAATGGAAACTTAGCTGTTACTCGAAGTCGATATCTAGAAAATGCTTTCCATATTTTAAGCACAATTACGAATGAGTTGATCGAAGATGGTAATGTCCAAAGTGTATGCTGATGAGGCTTCATACCAAGCCGTGCTGCTGAGAAGACATCTTTGATATCCCAAGCCATAGTCCGCTGTAACACACAGGAAATAGGTTTCTTCCAGACACAAAGACGCACATGCTTCTATCGTTGTGACGTTGTTTATGGCCCTGTTGTTATGTGCTTCAAGGTTCTTATTTTTGAATATCGTGAATCCCGAACCATACAGAGAACAACCTGAAATAAAATTATGAAATCGATTTGTGAAAAAAGTATTGTGTGAATCGCACTAACAAAACAACAAGCTTAACCAACCGAAACCGTAGCAAAAATGAATTTAGAAGTATCGATTTGTTCATGTCGAATAGTGTTACAAACTCACGGGTCCAAGTGATGGAATGAAAAATCAACAAATATATATTCTTGGCTTATTAACTTTTATGACATCATCAGTTAATCTGGGATTTCTTTGAAACATACTTTGTTCCAGAACCAAATATGTTCTTTTCTGGTTTTACAAGAAGATCACTATTTAGGCTGGATATGTTTCACATGTTAATGAGCAATACACATATCTTATATAAATTTAAATTATCTTTGTTGATGCGTTAGGAATGTGCAAAGCAAAACTGACCCAATGTCTTCCAGCAAGTATGTTACTTATGCCAAAACACGTCTCAAATAAACATATTGAACCAACAAGGATCACCCAAACGACTAGTTCGTTAATTGATTTAATCTTTGTTTCAAACCATAATTGTATTTGCACTTCGGGTGTGCTTGATCCTTTTTGCAGTGATCATTGTCCAGTTTTTGTCTCTGTTGGGAGCTCTGATTCAACGCCTTTAAAATTTAAAAGGAAAGTGTTTTACTATGATTTAGCTAATACTGAGGGAATGAATCGAGGCCTTAACAACGTTGACTGGGATGCCATCTCTAGATGTAATGATATTGATATTCTAACACATGAATTTGTTGATGTCCCAAACAATGTGGTAACTATAAGACCTCGGGACAATCCATGGATGAATAGTGCTATAAGAATACTTATCAGGAAAAGGAATAGACAGCATAAGAAAGCAAAGACTCGAAATTATGATAAAGACTGGCAAAAATTTAGGCTTTTACGGAACAAAGTATCAGCAGCCGTGAGAGCAGCCAATTTGAAATATATTTCTGATTTAGATGATAAGAACAATCAGGGGAGTAATTCTAAATTTTGGTGG